GGCTATGGGGGAAGGCATATCATCACCTTTACAGTTTTAAGTAAAGCAGCCTCGTGCTGTCTCAGCAAAGTAACAGTTTTTGCATAAGAATCGTGCATCAGTGCTTCAGTCCTCCTTGAAACATCATCCTCTAGATCAAAATTCAGAGGAGGCTCAGTCAGGTCATTATCGTCGTATAGGGATCCTTCAAAGTCAAGGCGCGGACCCACAAATTTGGGACGCTTTCTCCACGGTGGAGGTTCACTATGGACAGTCATTGGATCTTCTAAGTTCCATCTGTTGAGAAGAAAGACGTGAGAATCTAGCAGGAAGTCGAAAATGCAACCTGTATGAATCACACATACATTGTAATCATTTTACGAGCAAGCCATGTTGCATCAGCAAGGTAACTCACTGATGCTTTTGAAGTATCCCGTCCAAATATCACCTCTTCAGCGGCTCTTCCTCCTAGCAACACCTTTAGAATAAGGATGGTTCGTGTCAATGTGGTAAAGATTGGCCTCTAGGCACCCCTAGGTCAAAGCAAAATCTGAAAATTCATATTCCCTCCGTTCCTAAAAGTCTTTCTCTCTTTTTTTTCTTTGTCCCAAAATGTCTTTCTCATTTTTATTAAAGAACCACTTTTACCCCTATTAATTCTTACTCTACTTATCACATCATATCTATTCACTAACAATCTATCCATCACATCCTGCTTTTACCCATCACATCAAGGGCAATTTGGGAAAGTCAACACAAAAATATCCCTCCTTTAAATTCCATAAAAGTCATAATAGGAAAGAGATTTAGGGACGGATGGAGTACTTCTTTAGGCAATGAGCCGACTATGCAATTGCTAGCCAGCACCTTTAACAAACACTTAATTGGTGAATACTCCACTTTTTTGGTACTTTAACCATAGTACATTACCATCTCCACCCCACCCCACCCCATCCCAAAAAAAATCCACTTTGGTCAAAGAAATCTTAGTTTAGATGTAATTTGTCATAAAAATGCCGAAAAAGAGTCGTATGACAACACACATTATAAATTTAACCAAACCAACAAATAAACTTTATAAATGCAAGCATGATTTACGGTTTATGATATTTGTACCTTGCCAAAGTTTAAAAGTTGTACATTGGTCAAACAGGACTCTATTTTGAGGCACATGTTGGCATGTTGCACTATTTCTTAAGTTAGATATTTTAATGGTAGGGCACCCTTGGGCCCAGTGGGTGCTAAGCGTTTCGGCAGCCATGGTCGGTGTACTCCTAATAAAAAATGTAGACATGATTACGTGAAACAGGGAAAAGATCACAAACAGCAAAATTCAAACCTGAAGGCGGTGCAACAATTGTGGCCGGCGCTCAAACATGTACAACTCATCATCAAGGCGATGGAAGACAACTTGGGAAAGGGTCTGCAAGGTCATTTTTTAAAAGTAGGTGAAGAAAGTCCAGCATTAAAAGCAAACCTGCTGCGAGAAATAGAGAAAATAGAGTTTGCATAAAATTTCAAAAGAAGTTGATATTATAATAGTTAGAACTTAGAAGTCAAACCTGGCCACGAGGGTTGATAGATATGCGGTCACAACGTTCAATCTGGGCATTTTCATAATGTCTTAACAGGTGAGAAATCAGAGCAGTTCCCACTTCAGTACTAGCTCGGCGACACTGGCCTTGCTGTCCCAAGTTTATCCCAATACGTTTGGGTCCCACTGTCAATCTATCAGCTGCATCATTCATATCTGAGCTGAAAATACAGTCATGACCTTTCCTAACTGCAACGAGAGCTGCCTCCTGCAGGAGTTGTGCAAGTTCTGCGCCACTCCAACCTGGTACATAAGACCGTTGCGCAATAAATCACCACAAATGCAAGGTGGCCATTTTATTCATATTAAAGCATACCTTGTAGGCAATTACATTCCTATATGAGCATGCAAGTGCTCAAATAGTTAACAGTATCTCAATTCTCAAGGCAAAACAAACTTGTTTTTTCATTTTCTTCCTCCAAGTGCTTATTTTCATCTTGTATAGTTGAAAATAAGTATAATTGATGAAGTATATTTGATGAAGAGAGAGTAAAACTAACCTGGTAAGTTCTGGGCATAACTAGCCAAATCAACTGTGTCCGATAATTTTACATTACGTGCATGAACTTTGAGAATATCCAATCTTCCCTTTGCATCGGGAGGTTGAATTCTTATCTAGAATAGAAATAAGATCAATAACATTAAAAAAACAAAGCTGACATTTTCAGAATGGTCCCAATGCATTTGAAAACACAAATACACATTTGACGTAAGAAAATGGAAAAAGTATAAACAAACTTTTCAGAATGCTTGCAAGTTGCAACCTATCAAACATCACATTAACATGTGTATGTTGCATAATTTCCACAAAACATGTATGCAACAGTTAATGTATTTAAACTAAGTATGCAATATTTTGGTGGTAATCGTTACTCTTGTCTCTTGAAAATTTTTCTAGAGACAAAATGAGATGCTCATAAATGAAAAATGCAATAACTGAACACATAAGATCGGGCAGCTATGATAAAATACATAGAACTTTGGATAGTTATAATGAACAGATGAACTATGAATACACACCCAAGAATAGGGAAACACAAAGGAACAAAAAAACAGAAAACAAGTAGTAACACTGAAAAATCACATATCCAAATATATATAAGCACATGCCTACCTTGCGATCAAATCTACCAGGCCGAAGAAGTGCAGGATCTAACAAATCCATTCGATTTGTTGCTCCTAAAAATATAACACCTTTCCCTGTGTCAAAACCATCTAGCTCAATCAAGAGCTGGTTCAGTGTAGTTTCTCTCTCTTGTGTAGCTGCATTATATAGGTCATCGATGGATTCATTAAATATCCCTTGGCGCCTATACATTGAAGGAATGTTAGAAACTTTCATATGATTTTATCAAACCAATGACAATTCANCCTACCTTGCGATCAAATCTACCAGGCCGAAGAAGTGCAGGATCTAACAAATCCATTCGATTTGTTGCTCCTAAAAATATAACACCTTTCCCTGTGTCAAAACCATCTAGCTCAATCAAGAGCTGGTTCAGTGTAGTTTCTCTCTCTTGTGTAGCTGCATTATATAGGTCATCGATGGATTCATTAAATATCCCTTGGCGCCTATACATTGAAGGAATGTTAGAAACTTTCATATGATTTTATCAAACCAATGACAATTCAGATGCCTGTAAAAATAATAATGGTCTGAACTTTCCTCATTAATGAAATACATTGACTCAAATTCATTTTTTAATCCACACCTTGTAGCCAAAGCATCAATTTCATCAATGAAAATGACAGATGGTTTATTGACCTGTGACAAGAAATTGCACAAATCTTCAGAATACCTCAACAACAACAGCAACAACAACAACAAAGTCTTAATCCCAATTCCCAAATCAGTGGGGTACACTAAATGTTGTGAATACATGTAGTATAGAAGTTCATCAACACAATATATCTTATGCAATTATGCCCCCCATCACCCCCCCCCAATACGTCATCTGGACATTTGGTTTAAAACAAACGTCATGTTCTATCCCTTTTTCTTCTGCAAATGACTTTAAATAAAAAAATAAATCATTTATGGACCCAAAGTGCACGGTAAACAATAGAACAAAATGTAATTCTTTCCTTGTTCAAAACCATCAGTTTTCTATGTTGGATGGCTCAAAATAAATTCCATCTTTCTTAATAAAACTCTGATAAGACGAACTCTAGTATTCAAATCAAACCTTCCATCATCTCCGATGGAGCCAAAATTTCACCATTTTTTGGCTTTGGGGTGTGATGGAATAAATCAAAATGGATCTCTAAACTAGCTGCGCTTCTTTAATTAATGAAGTAGCAGTTAGTCAAACAATGCAACTTTCGACGTTGAGCCGGGGGTCTTTTTGGAAACAGCCTCTCTACTTTCGAGTAGGGGCAAGGTCTGCGTACACACACCCTCCCCAGACCCTACTCTTGTGGGATTTAACTGGGTTGTTGTTGTTGTTGTTGTAGTATTCAAATCAAAATGTTAGGCACTGAAAACAAATTTACTAAATAAGATGAGTATGGTGGAGTCTGAGCCGGAGGTCTTTTGGAAACAGTCTCTCTACTTTATAGTAGGGGTAAGGTCTGTGCATACACACACTCCCCAAACCCTACTGTTGTGGAATTTTACAGGGTTGTTGTTTGTTGTAAGATAAGTGTGGTGGAGATGAATACATTGCAATGCATGTGTGGTAATACTAGAAAAGATAGAAGAACAAGGAGGCCATAACATTAAGATTTGATTATTGTTACCACACACCAACACTCGTCTTTTCCCGCATGCTTTGTCCTCACTCACATCCTTCTCGAGACAATTTCCAAGGTCACTCATCCCATAATTTCTCCAAGTCAAGCAAGCAAGTTCTCAAGGGATTAAACCTAAAAAAAATAAGATTATGTTGTTGGTATGGATAATAGCTATCAAACTCTCCACATGATTCTGGATTGTACAATCCTATACATGCACAATCATGGTATCGCTTAGTTGTGCAGCCCCACCCCTACACAGCCTCAATATCCCTCTCTGAAAATGCCGATCGGTTCATTCATGTGCCCCCTGCCTAATGTGCCCCCTGCCTAGAAGATTGCCAGAGCTGCTCTATGATCACTCCACACTCCATCATCCACAAGCATCAGATTCACGGGATATATGTAGCAGTTATTTAAGATGGAGGGAGAACTAATAACATTGGTTGGGGACTTCATGCACATCAATTCTCATGGAGAGTGGGGTCATGGAATGTAAAGAGAAGTCGAGGTATGCCAAAAATGACTTGTATTGAAGGAGTAAAAAGATATATCGAAGTGTTGGAGCTTTATGAGCACATAGTACATCAGTACAGGGTACAAAAGAATGAAAAAGAAAATTTAAGTGAATGACCTAAAGAGATTTGCTATACAGGACAGAGTGTTGCCACTACAGACTACCCACGTGCAAAAGCTGTAACAAAAATGTGGATGTGTACATCGATCTGCAGAAATACTAGGAAGCATAAGGCTAGAAACAAGACAATACAGGCCAATGTGGGAGTGACTTCTGCAGAAGAAAAGATGCATGAATTGAGGTTGAGGTGTCTCGGACACAGAGGATGAACATTGATACCCTTGTGAGGAGGTGCAAGAGGCAAGTAGTGGGGAATTTAAGAAGGGATAGACCAAAGAATAGTTGAGGTTAGATGTAATATATTGTTTCTGCCACCTACAGAGGACATGACCCTTGATAGGGGAGTTTGGAGGTCAAAGATTAGGGTGTTAGGGTAATTTGACGTTGGAATGGAGTTACAGAAGGAAGTTAGTGTACATGAATACCATTGTGGGGATTTGTGTATTTATGTACTTTCTCCCATAAAATGCTTTACAATTCTTTTTCGGACATCCCAAAAAACTTTATACTTACTTTATTTCTTATTTTACTAAAGAATATGTGGCTCACAATATTTCTCTCTTATCCAAACAAATTCTAACCATACCCTTTTTACTTTTCAACATTTTTTTTTAATTGCGTGAGAGTCAACCCGTAAAACATTTTAATTGCACGTAGGGAGTAATTTCTATTTACTCGTATAAATCGTCTTTTATTGTTTATCGTGGTAACCTGTTTTGTTTGTGCGTGTGCAAGTGTTTTTTTTGTCCAAGGGAATTTCGGAAACAACCACTTGACTTTTATGGGGCAACGTCTACGCACACCCACCCTAGATCCTATTAATGGGACCTTATTGTGTTGTTGCTGCTCTTGCTGACCTTCATTGATTTGAGATTAAAGCTTGGTTTTTCTGAAGTTGTTCCCTCATTTGGTTAACTTTTTCTTGCAAATAATAATCTCTTGTTTTTCCTATCTTAAAAGATGTATTAGCCACTTCTTATGGGGATAAAAGGAAAGTCTACACATAAATACACTTTTTATGAGTTTCAGACCCAATGCAAGGTTTTTTAGGGACAAATCGGAGTGCATCTTAACATATACTCTGTATTAACTAAATGTACTTCAGGCTTCAATTCTAAATGTGCATTAGTGTAAAGGTTTAATTGTTTAATGATAAACACTGTCATCTGATCTAAGATTGTTAACTTTTCTTACAACATTTAGCCTCGTTGTTTATACTAATTTCACCTGTTTTATCTCATGTTTATAAGCATCTCGTAGTAAAAAGGCAGAAAATGCCATGAATGTCATAGAGAAGTAGGAAGGGATCGTTGGGGTGTCATGATTAAAGTACAAAAACAACAACCCAGCATAATCCCAACTGTATTGGGGCCTTTTGGATCAAGGTGTATGCAATCTTACCTTTGTAAAAACAAAGAGGTTGTTTCTGTTAGACCCTGAATGCATTGCTGCACTTATTTCCCAAAACATAAGAAAAAGTGAATAGCAAGGGAAGTTAAATGTTCCATTTTGATTTAGTCCATTATGTGCCTGAAACTAAAAAAGTCAATAATGACTTTTTTAGCTCCATTGGCAATGGGAGGGGTACCATGGTTAAAGTAACATTTTAAAATACATTACTAATACTGAAAGAAATTACTTCGTGTTACTAAAAGTAATAAGAAACTAATACTAAGATGTTAAGTTCCCATAGCTCAAATTAACCAAAGAATCCACTCTCATTATGTTATCCAAGAATCCACTCTAATACTAAGATGTTATCCATTAGATATGCATAAAAAATTAAAATCAAACCTCAAATATCATATTTTACAAATAATATTTGTGTATTATACAAATAATTTCTTGTATATTATGAGACCGCTTTAAGTGACACGCAAAGTGATGACATTGCCGAAAGTGCATATGCGGCTGAGAAATTTTGAAAAAGTTCATGGAAGTGTATAATAGGGGTATTAAACTTAAATTAACTTACAGATGGAGAGAGAAAAAAATAAATAATATGAATGAGACAAATTTTTCCTTACAAGGAAATAGAAAGTTCAATTAGAAACAACCCAAAAAGAAAAGTGAGAAGTTTATTTTAGAAAAAAGTGAGTATAAAACAAGACTCTCCGCCTCCAAATGGATGTCCCATTGTGTTTAATACTTTAATGAAGCTCGAGTGAAGTTATTTTAAATTCAATTTGTTTGGTATAGAACTTAAAAATAAATTTAAATATTTAAAAAGTTTAACACCTCTATCTCACTATAGTTGTCCCTTTTTACCTTTTTTGTCCATCCCACTACTTTTGTTTCATACTATATTTGCTCATGTTTGTGTGGTTTACATTCATTCTTACTTTATCCTACTTTTTGACACCAATATCAAACACACAATATTACTTCTTTAATCTTCGTGCCACTGCCTCATGCCCCAGGGATGGAGAGAGTATAAAACAAGAGGAGGTTTACCCATCTTATTTTAACAAACGATTAACAAAAATAAATAAATAAAGAAGATATAGTTTGACTTGTGAATAGTACACCATGCCATCCATTTAGGGACGAATGGAATATAATTTATGAAAAAATAAAGGCCCAAGTTAATGAGTTTTGACTGAAAACCCAAACTAGTGAAGCATATTCTAGGACGGATGAGTTGATCAGTTCTCACGGATCCTGACACTGTTACTCATTCAAGATGACTAGCTTGGCCATCTAACATATGTGATTTCACACTTAGGTTTTATTACATTTTGCACTGCCCTACAATGAAGACTAAACAAATATCAGCACCTCTTCGAATACTGGTACAGGCAGCATCTCTTCTACTACTGGTAGAGACATGAGTTCTTGGTATTGAGATTTAAGACACCAACAGTCAGCAAGATATACTCCCTTCGCCCCATAAAAAAATGTATCATTGTGATAACAAGGTTTGACTGAACTTATTTTCAAATCAATTTAAATAAACATTGGTGAAAAATTTAAAAATAAATTTATATATTTAAAAACTACATTAAAAGCTCTATAAAACAATAGGTCAATTAGTGACATGACCATTATTTTAACAAATGATTAACGAGAATAAGTAAAAAAGGAAGAAAAAGTTTGACCTATGAATATATTCTAGAAATGTTGCTAGCTTTTTCTGGGACGGCATGTCAGATTTGCCATTCTCTGGCTTCCAAATGAAGAAATACAAAAACAAAAACAAAAAAAAAGTTACTGTATTGACAACATTAGATAATACCTTGGCTCTCTTGAACAAATCCCTAATACGAGCAGCGCCAACACCAACTAGCACTTCGACAAATTCAGATCCAGCCATTTGGTAAAAGGGAACACCGGCTTCACCTGCTATGGCCTTGGCAACTAGTGTCTGAATAAAGCATGCTGTTAGTACTTCATTATACAATTGATATAAAGGCTATCAGTGCTTAGTCAAAGCTTTAAGTATAAACTTTAGACTAACCTTACCACAACCAGGTGGGCCCTCCAGAAGAACTCCATGTGGTGGTTTTATCCCCATTTTATCAAATAGCTCAGGATTCTTCAAGTATGTTACCAACTACAACACGTACAGATGGAAATTATCCAAGACCTCTGTTAGGTGTTAAGATGCCTTAAAACATGGCATGAAATTATAGGTTGAGAATTGGCCATGATAACTAACAAGACTAAAAATTGTTCTCCGTATATACAGTAGGACACTATAAAAGAAAGTTGGCAATTAGATATTAATAAAATGCTGATTCAAGCACATCAACCTTGGTATTCTAAAGAGTTGATATGATGAAAAGGTTAAATATATTTACAAGCTTCTGTATCTAGGTGCATAATATTTCTAGTCTGACCAAAGAAAAGGATGTTATACACAAATATATGACTTCTTATGATATTCAGTAGGCTTTCAATTTGTATCATTCTCTGTTTTTAACAGGCTAAAACAATCAAAATAGTTACCTGTTTTAATAATTCCAATGTGCTAGATAAAATTGCATGAAAAAAGCAGATCAGAGGTTTAAAACATCAACTACCTCCTGAAGTTCTTCCACAGCTTGCTCGATCCCAGCTACATCATTGAATGTGACTCCAGTTGAACCCTGAAAGACCAGTACTTATAAGCAAAACAGAAATGGCCAACTACCCCATTTTAATGGACAGTAGAACACTTTGGAATGGGGTGAACAGTATGGGGAACAAAACATTTTACACTCACATCCACACGAGCTTGTGGCTTAGACTGAGAAAATTCAATGCCTTGCCAAATGTCCTGCATGAAGCATAAATGATATCAATCATCAAACACTAGAGAGTAAATCAGACCACTAAACAAAGACATTATAAGAAAAATTGGGTCTGATGCTCAGTGCTCACCCATTTCCTAAAGTTCTTAGGTCTTCTTGAAAGAGTGAAACGAACAAGGAGAACCATAGTGATAAATACAAACAGGATTGGCTTCAGCAATCTAAGACTGGCAGAAATACCGCCAAAAGTGTAAATCTGATGCAACTTGGCAAAAACTCCAACAGCAAAAGCATCATAAATTTTATCCCAAACTCTCTCTAAGACATCAAAAATAATGCCAGAGAAAAACTTGACAAATGGTTTGGCAACAGGCCATACAACATATACAGCCACAACACATGCAAAGCTTGTCATAGCTAATAATGCTGAAGCAAGGAAGCCATAAGCAATCACTGCAGCTAATGTCATCAAAGCTGTTAGCATCCCAAGTTGTCCTATCAGTCTGGTTGATATTTTAGATGCCACTGGAAGACAATGCTCTGGCAATCTTCCAACATATGACTGCACATTACATTGCAAAGTAAGTGAGGGAACACCCAGAAGAAGACAGCATTCATCACCAAGTCATGCCACCTGGCGCTTCTTGGAAAATTGATACTTGATAGAGCAAAATCGCACAGAATAATCTGTGTATATACTATATGTTGATTATGTTCCAGAATACATCATACATTTTTTCACATTGTTTCATAAAGTTACATCCCAATAGATGGTAACACATACACAATGACTAACAAGAAAATTGACAGTTAACTGACTACAATTTCAAACATTAGAACCCATTTCATGGGTTATTCCATTGACATGGCTGATATGGCTGGAAAACAAATTAAATCTATTCAAGCCAAATAAGTCATAAGTCTTAAATTGATTATTCTAATTTTACTTCTGCAGAAAATACACCACTTTTGGCTACCAAACGGGCTCTTAACAAGCATGATGTCCTCAAGCAAAAAGGAAATAAACTGAGTGGTCATCTAGAATCTCATGTCAATCATTGCCTAATGTTTTCAATCTGACTGTGGGGTTAAATATAAAACTAGTTCATTTATATAATGTTTCCATAAGCCTCTCTTGGCATATAGCACTCCATGGCTTATATTTGCCATTAGCTTTCATTCTACTTTAAAATGATAAAACCATGCATTGTTGTTTTGATGAATCTCCATTTTTTTGTTTCAAGTATTTAGAAGACTAGAGCTAAATCTTTCAAAGAAATCCAGGATGATAGCACATAGATAAACAAAAAAATGAATGTTGGGGAGATTATATAAAAGATCCAGCTCCACCATTTGCCTCTCGACTTCATACCGCATCCCAGTGTACTCGTCCAGAAGGGTTTTTGCCAGATTTGAATCCAGTCTTAGTGTCCTAAAGGAAATAAATAAATAAAAATTTGAAGTAAATTAGAGATCACTGGCACTTGGCCAAAATAAAGATATAAAACAGAATTGCACTCCTTTGTGTTGCTAACCACTTAGTTCTGTGCAAGTTCTTATCACCAGGGATTTCCTTCAACTCCACTACTAAGTCCCTTAGCCCAAACCTTTCATTTGAGTCATCCCCCTCTTTGAATGTTACCAGCTTAACCTTGTCAGCTTTCAAGCACTTCTGGAAATCCTCCAACTCCAATCTCGGTAACTCTTGCACATTCTTATCAAATTCCTCTTCTTCTGATAAGCGAGGCTGAAAAACCTGTTCGGGAACGTACAGCTTCCCTTTATACCCCCTCAAAATGTCCTTCAAATACACCTCCCCGGGCTTCCCAGTCCGACCTTCTTCTTGCCTTTGCCCCCAAAATGCCTTCAAATTCAACTTCTTTAGAATCTCAAAGGCCCCAGCATCAAAACCCTTTTTCCGCAACTCCTCTTTTTCCTTCCGAGTAAGTAATTCATCCCCTATTTTGTATCTGGGTTCTACTTGGCAGGGGTTTTGCCTCAAAATCCTTGTTATAAAGTCGCTGCCGCTACCTTCCTTGCTGTTGAACTGCTCGGAACCTTTCGAATTGGACTCGTGTTTCCCAAGGATTGCGCGCAGGCGGCAATAGGGCGGCGATCTTTTAGGGAAGTTTCCGGAAAATTTGAGGTTTTGGTGTCGTTTGTGGAGTGAAAAGTCGATTGTGAATGAGGTCCGGCGGTGAGTATTCGTCCGGTGACGAATGAAGACAGGTGATGATTTCCAGGTTTTTGATGAGCCAGGTGAAGAGCAAAACATGGCTGTTTATCAACCCAGAGAATGTGGTGGTTCCGCTGGAGTTTTTGCATCTATCAAAATGCTATGCAAACATGTAGCGGCGATTTCTGGGCGCTAGAAGGGGAATGTGGTCTTTGTGTAATCTTAGCTGGAGTAAGAGAATTGTAAAAAGTACTCAACGTAGAGGAATAAAGGGAGGAATAACATACGGAGTATGTGAGAATAGGATATGTAAACATTTATGGACCATTTTATGGAGAATAGGATATCAAAATGCTATGCAAACATTTTATGGACCATTTCATATAAAAAATACAGTATATTTTTACTTTATTATTTTAAAAATCAAATTCGTATTTAAATAGTAAAAAAATTTATTTTTTTTATATTTAGGTCCATTGTTGGCCTTAGATCCACCATGAAATTTGTCAGAAGAGAAATAGATTATAAAGGAGAGGTGAATAGAGGCGAGAGATGAGAAAGGTAAAATATTGTTCCTCTGAAAAGAAAATAAAGTGATTGGGCAATTATATTTCTAATTTTTTTATACAAATAAAGAGATGATATGTGGAAAAAAATAAAAAACGTAGGTGATGATTAAATAAGGGTGGAAAAAATTTAAGGAGAAAGAGATGTAACATTAGAAGTAGATGATCTTGGAAGAGGAATAGAGGAGAATGAGTAGTGATGCTCTAAGATCATCTCCAAGAGAATGGTTAAAAAAATGAGTTGAAAAATGTTATTTTAGCAAGTAAATAGTGTTTTATCAATCCATTTTTAGTCATCCCTCCAACCATGACATCTAAAATACCTATTTATTACTACATTTAATGTATCTAGATAAAATATCCTATTTACATTATTATCATTAAAAAAATCCTATGTAGATAAAGTTTCTATTTCCTCATGTATCAATGAGATATAGGCATGGACACAGTTCGATTTTAGTTCCGGCACCCCCCCTCCCCCCGCCGTAATCGCCCCATGTAGACGCTGGTTCCGAGATAGTTTTTCGATTCTATTTTTTTCATTTTATAATATTATATATTTATATCTAAAACAATTTAATCTAAACATGTAGTTGTTATTTGAATGCTGAAAATTGGATATTACAACTACATTTATTACCCTGATAGTTAAAAAAAAGGGATGAGGTAAAGAGCTGCTAAAAACTCTCAAAGGAGCTTATAAATCGTTCACCTAAAAAAATAATTGTAATTTGAGAAAAAAATTGAATTATTCGTCAGAACGACCACTTCCCTTTGTGTTTGCATCCATGTGATTTTGTGTACCCATATCGTAGCTTGCCTCTTGTGCTCGACGCCTTGCCAATAGCCAATCTCGCTTGCAAATATGTGTCTTAAGCGGTTCCATGATAAACGAACTCCAAATGTCAGTTAAAATATTTCCACTAGAATCGAACTCTTGTTCCACATCTAAGGTTGAAACTCGCATAGATAACTCGTGTCTGGTTAGCATCCCGAGTGACGGGAACATTTGTTCATTCCGCTTTCACCAGTCGATGACGTTGAACTCGTTTTCGTTATTTTCAACGTAGTCACATGGGATGTCTTGGTACATCAAGAGTTTGTTGTGCAAACTTATTGTTGTACCACACCAATACTTGTAGAGGTACTCTCACCCTTTCTCACAAAGAGGTCACCAACTATCCCTTTAAAACCTTTCTTTGTCTTCAAGGCAAGAGGAGTTGTTGTTTCTTCCTGAGGAGTACTATACAAAACTTGAAATTCTTTATATAAATAGTCAAAAGGGTAATAGCGTTATTTCTTTCTTCCATCCATTCTATTAAATGTTGATAATAATAACCATTTTCATTTAAAAACAACTATAGTAGTACCATATGAGAATTTTACAATTCTCAGTCTTGAAGCGTTGATCACAAATAATACCAATTTTATAAATATCATGAATATACAAGTAATAAGCACATAGGGAGCCAAATCTTGATTAGACACACTTTCATGAAAACATGTAGCAATTATAATATACTCAGAAAAAATCTGTTCATCGTGGGTTTATAAACATGCTAGAAAGTTAGAGTTACATTATTAGAACTTAATCAAGTCAAATAAAAACTATTCAACTAGGGTGAAGAGAGGACATGACCTAAGAATGAGTGATTTGAGAGAAAAAAGTATACTAAGAATAGGTGATGGAGAGTGTAATGACCCGAAAATAGGCCTATCAGAATTAATTAATCGATAATTAATTAATTATTGAAAAAGACTCAAAAATAAGTGAATTATAAAGTTTTTCAATAAATGATGGAAATTATATCATTGTGTGGAGGTTGACTGTCTGACCGTAACGGTTCAATCAAATTTTAATTCGGAGAAAGTTGGACCAAAAAGTGTACCCCGACTGGGACCAAATTAGTCCCAATCAAGGATAATGTACAATATCCTGGAACGGCGCCGCTCACTCCACTCACAGCCGCTGGAACAGGAGTAAGCTTGGCTTCTTCTTCTTCTTCTTCTTCTTCTCTCCATTACATAAGGAAGCCAATTTCCTCATTCCTTCACCAAATCAATCCATTTGTCCTTCTATTCTGCTGCTCTGAGTAAGGATAACACTTTGGTGTTGCCAATTCAGTGAGAGGTCGCCGGAGTTGAGAGCTTTTGTCACCGGAAGTTTCACCGGAATCTTCATTTAGCTTCAAGGTAAGTCCGTAGATATATCTAATGACTAGAATGTTCATATAGGTCGTTTCTACGTTCATAAATGGTCATTTGGTTGAGTTTGTGTTTGACATGCTTGAAGAACCAAGAATCATGAACCATGGATTTGATGTTAAAATTATGAATTAATGATGCTAAAATGATCTATGAACCTACATATGAACAAAATAAATATTTCACTATGGACCTACATATGAACAAAATAAATATTTCTTTACTACTTAAATAAATATCTGTTTTTTAAATAAAAAGAGTAAAAAAATATTTTTTTATGTAGAAAGGTCTACAAAAATAATATGCGCCCAGAGTGCATCAAAGAATCGCTCTTTGAAAATAAAGGATGTTTTTGATGTTTTTTTGTAAGCCTCAGTGAGACCCATGCTATTAGCCCTTCCTAACCGCAAATTACAACCAAGAAATTATTTATGGTATGAATTTTATTTTACATGAGAATGAACACTAAGTTATTTGAGAATGAGTACTGTTTTGTTTCAGAATGAACACTGCATTATTTGTAGATGAATATTATAATTATATTGAACCAATGTGTGAAAATGAATACTGCATTATTTTAGAATCAGTACCACGTTAATTATATGAGTAATTTATCTAAATAGGACTAAAACATAATGAATTTCCCAAAATAGGACCATATGTTTTTATTTCCGAATGTAGGACCTTTGGTCATTATTCTTTAGTCATTATTCAAGTAATGTCTATCATTGCTGGGCATTATTCCTTCCACGAATACATTATTAAGTCCTATTTAGGAAATAAAAAAGTTTAAGTCCTAGATTAGGAAAGTCATTATGTTTTAGTCCTATTTAGTGCAAATTTCACTAATTATATTTGTGCGAGAATGAGTACTACACTACTTCAGAATCAGTACTACCCGGATGTATCGTACATCCGGTTAGCGGTTACCATATACTTTCTCCTTCCGAAGAGCAACTCCAAGGGAAAAGGTATATGAGAGGCTAAAGAGGAATAATTGTGATATATACCTCTTTTCATTAAAAATCATTCTCCAATGGGAGAGGTAAATAAGGAGGCATTATACCTTCTTCAATTTTGAAAAGGTATCTTTACCTTCTTCATTTGGGGAGGTATATCAATTTTTCCCACCTTTTAAATTTATTTCAATTACTTTAGTTATTGTATTTTTGCTTGAATGTATTATTATAAATTTTTAATTTATATCTTTGTAATTGTAAAACTTAATGAGTCAAGAATTAACAAAAAAAGGATACTTTGTTTTTTCAATTTTTTACTCTGTATTTTTAAGTTTTTTCTATTCGGGCATTTATAATTTTACATGTGCAATTGGACATAATGTATATTTAATTATTTGACAACTAACATTCTAATTTTTTCCAATAAAGTAGTTAGATTTTTATAAAATCTTTAAATTAAAAAATTTAATCAAGAAGAAACAAAAGTTACCTCCCCATGACTTTTTTAAGAATGTATATTTTCTTTTCTAATAATTGAAATTTGATTTAAAAAGGTAAATCAACTAGTTTTTTCTCATTAATGTATGAAGAAGGATTTTTTCCATCTTTTGCCTTTTGATTTACCTTCCCATTGGAGTTGCACACTTTTTGGGAAGGGAAACTTCATATCACTTGGAGAGGTAAATGAGATATATACCTCTCCAAGATACCTACCACCATGGAAGTTACCATTGGAGTTGCTCTAACACAAGTTACTTCCGTGATTAACGGCCGTCAGTTTACACGGACGCGGCCGGACTGTTTCCGTTGCTTTCCACTTCCGTCACGTTTCTCTCCTCAATGAATATCCTCATTTTCATTTTTTCTTTGCGCACAAATTTTCCTAACCTTCTTTCCCTTCTCAATTTTCCGGCATAGCAAAGCATCAGTATAGAGAGGAAGCACAAGCTGAAAATGGCTATTCGATGGAATCTGTTTGTGTGACCCTTGAGCTTAAACCGAATTTTCTTAAACCCTAAGTATAATTTCATCAGAAAAATTCGTTTTAATCTCCACACAAGTGCATCTCGTTCTTCTTAATTTGAACTCGAGGGTTTTGAATTTTGATTTTTGTTGCTCAGGTGCGTGCTTAGCCATGGAGGTGGATTTGGTAACAGATGAAATGCCGGAAGATGAAAGATATGACATTGATGAAAATTTTGATGTGAGTTTTGATCTTCTATTTACATTAGAATACGTACTAAGCTGAAAGGTGCTCTCCACATTTTCCCTTTGAATTAATAGGAGGCGCTCAATTGTTTATTTTACGAGTGAAATCACTCTATTTTGTTTTAGTCTTTAGTTATATACTAGCTGGCAATATAGTTCTGGGTACTCTAAGAACATTCCCAGGCCTTACTCTCGTGGGATCCAACTGGGTTGCTGTTTTTGTTGTTGTTGTTGTTGTACTCTAAGAACATTTGAACCAGTACTCTTCGTATGCTCGAGGAACAAGGTGACCCTACGCAAGAAACTGATGTTAAAAAGAAGAGCTGTCAAATTGTAGTCCTGAAAGTCAAAGGGGAAGGAAGAATATTGCATGATTAACTGGAAGTTGAGACTTCTATGAATTCACACACAGGCCGAGTGTTTGTACACATGGTCACTAGTATACTACTACATATTTTTTTAAATGTGCATTTTTGTTTGGGAGGGGGGGGGGGTCACCCAAGGCACACTCCTCTTCCATCAAAACTGAATCAAAGTGTAGGGTTTAGTTTTTATGAGCAGGTTTATAGATGTTATGATATCTGCTTCACCAAGTTTATGTTCTAGCACATTTTCTTTATTGTTGCAGGAATTTTCCACTTTCGAGAGTGAAAGATGTGGCATATGTATGAATACAGTCATTGACAGGGGAGTTCTTGATTGTTGCCAACATTGGTATTAAACTAAGTATTTCATTCTAAATATATTGTTTAGTTCAAAAGTGTCAATGCTAGTTTCATGCTCTTCAACCCTTCCTCTTCTGGTAAAAGAGAGAAAGATGATTCAATGGTGGCATGAATTATTTAGCTTTGTGCTTTCAGCCCCTGAATATGATATAACTGTGTTGGATTTTCACAATTCTATGATTACAGAATGATGCCAAAGGAATTTTTCTGTTATAATTTCAGGTTCTGTTTTACATGCATTGATAACTGGGCTACCATCACAAACCTATGTCCACTCTGTCAGATTGAATTTCAATTGATCACTTGTGTGCCGGTGAGTAAGAGAAATCATCCTACCTTTCTTTATTTTTTCTTGAAGTAACAATAGCTGCATATCCATTTTAGCTCCTTGATTTATGCATAGTCTTCAGTGATGATTTTATGCTTGGACAACTTGTTTATTGGATCTTTACAAATAATGCTTATGCATCCGTATTTGTATGTTACAAAGGTTTTTGATACCATTGGAGGGAACACGACTGATGATGATTCATATTCCAGGTATTCTTTTTAAATTATCATATTATATTATGTATTTGATTGAAAACATTACATTCCGTCTTTTAATTATCTCGCATTCTTTGGAGTAAAGATAACTGGTAGATGGATATGGAGTATAAAGCAAGATAATAAGATATAGGTAATAGATACATGGAAGTGAGTAGCCTGTTATGGCTATGGATTTCCGTTGCATTGTTGTGTTGCTGCAATTTGTGCTTTAAGGTGTTATATAGTCTTATATTTGTTAGCAGTATGGTCAAATTGATATTGCTTTCAGCAACCTGCCATGACATGAAACTGATTTACTGATCTTTACAGAGATGACGACTGGTCCATCGAAGGAAATAATAATACTCTCTCATTTCCGTCTTACTATATTGATGAGAATGTGAGTTAAAATTTGTATGATTCTTGTGAATTACTCCGCATATGAGAAAGTAATTTAAAATAGGCAAAATTGACACCAATAAACCCTACTTTGAGGTGCTTTATAAAAATAATTCCCATTTGGAAAAATTCAAACAAAAAAATAATCCCAACTCGTTTCACAAAATTCATCCCTTAGTTTATGGTGTTAAGGTTCCATCATTTCCATGTTGTTTTTCTGAGACTGTTAACATGTTGAGATTATTTTTGAGAAATCCACCAATCTTTGGATTATGTTCAGATTCATTTTTTCTTTTAAATGTGGAAATGCTTGACCAAGAATTACCATAACCTTGTATATTTTTTATAACAAGTTATGAATCCTGTCCCTAATTTAAGAGTTATTTTGGATTACAAAGTTTGAATGATGTTACAATAACTCTTTTGCATTAAGTTTTTAATTTATTGTTAGTAATTTAAATAAATATATTAAAAACTACACTAAGATCTCTATTAAATTCTAGAAACCAAATTTGAATATGATAAAAATTTGAAACAGAAAGTAAGTAAGAAAAGAGAGTTGGGTTGACCACATGGATAATTGGATGGTTACCACGACATATAAAATGGGTGAGGTGTTTATGCACAAAATTAAATTCATTCTTTTCAATATTTAAGGAAAATATCTAAAATAAGTACATGTGGTTATTTATGCATAGTTCAAGTTTAGACAATTATATTTTTGGTGATTCCAGTTTGGGTACCAATGTACCTGGATAATGTCTCAATAATAACTCCTCAAATGTCAAGGATTTTTAGAAAATTGGTTTTTCAATATTTTTTTTTGTATGATTTTCAAGGAATTTCTCATAATTGTTTTTTCATTTTCAAGGTTTTCAGTAGTGAGAGAGACAAGAATTGTTGGATGCTTCTACTTATTTGGATGTATCTGACTGCTTTTAAAATTTAGGTGAATCCTTGATTAGTTATTAATGACGAAAATATACGATATTAAATTGAATTCATATTCTCCGTATGGAATAAGCCTGGGATCAAAGTTAGTGTCTTATTAAAACTTGCATGTCCTTTTTTGCTTCCTGTGAACATGAAAACTTAAAATAAATATACTATAAGGGGACCCTAACACCGTCATACAGGGGATCAATTTTGGTGAAACTGTTACCAAGCTTAGATTATTTTTTAAATAATTGGTGGGGAATTTTTAAATGTTTTGAAGTAAGGGTTATTGATGTCAATTTCACCTTTAAAATATCTATTATGCTTGCGAATTCTATGCACTTATAGGAAAAAATCAAATAAAGCAAAAAGTTACTCATTTTCTTGTCTGTTATTTGGAAATGTTTGGTGTAGGTTTTCACATAATTATTGGAAATTTCAATCCCAACAATTTAGAAACCAATATTTTGTGATCTTGTGATTAGATGCACTTTGTCATGTGTAGGCAGTTGTCTGCTTAGATGGAGATGGCTGCAAAGTCCGGAGTGGATCAGCAGGAATTGAGGATGATTCAAATCTTGACACTTCAATTGCTTGTGACTCATGTGATATATGGTAAATTTGGTCTCGACTTGTACTGAACCTCAGTTTGAAAGATCAATTGCTGATCCTATGTTTTTGTTCTTTTCTTCATATTTGTTTTCTTATTTTCCTTTCTTTGAGAATATTATTTTCCTATTAATTCCGGCACGTGTCAATCAGGTACCATGCTATTTGTGTTGGATTTGACCCTGAAGGAACTTGTGAGAACTCATGGTTATGCCCAAGGTATTGTAAGTGGATATACTTTTCCCAAATTTCATATTTTATCATTTTAATATTCCGTCAGTCTATTTGATGTTCTGAGTTTGACTTGGCATGGAGTTTAAGAAAAAGTAAATTATGTGGTTCAGACTTATTAGGGGACTAGAAGAATATGAACCACAAATTCTCGTTCTCAAAGGGAATAGGAAATTTATTTTGGGATGGACCAAAAAGGAAAATAAGAAAATTTAAAGGAACATGAGTATATGGATTTACTGCAGTCCCATGGGGGCATGTATATTAGGTTAATTTTTGTGCGTTGTGACTGTTGGCATGCATTTTCAGTGTTGTAGTATATACCTTTAGAGCATGTGGAGTTCAAGTAGAATTTTTTCGTTATGCATACCTTTTGTCTCACGCTGCAGATGTGTTTCTGATAATGTCCCTGGCAAGCTGGATGTATCCAAGTCCCACAACCAATGCAATCTAGAGACTGCAAGTAGTAACCCCTCAACTGAGGATGTTTTATCTGGAAAAGTGTGTGTTTCTGTTGCCGATGATGGTGAGACTGCCGTTGTTGTCTCAATGATTGATGGATATCACGAGGCCGAAGCATTGGATGGACAAATCTCGACCTCACATTTTAGCAAGGACGTGGAAACTGACACAATAGCATCTACTTCTGTTGTTGATACTTCCAATTCAGTATTGAATGACACAAACTGTACTGTGCCAAACTTGATGGTAGAGGACCAAGAACATACCTCTTCACCACAGAAGCATTTAGATTTAAGTTCATATTCTGTTGTATTGGCTAATGCTAAGATAAACAGTAATGATCAAGCACCATGTGGAATTCCAATCATAAATAGATCCGCTCAGCCTATTAACAACAGAGTGATAGATCCTGGTTCAGATCTTGATCTTGGTTTAACAGTGGAGTCTTATGCAGAAGGTAGTTTCATATCTTTTGATGTTTTCTTCTGATATATATATATATATATATATATATATAGACACACACACGTATATATACATATATATATATATATATATATATAATTCATGCAAATTGCAGATCTGTTCATTGATGGGTTGAAGTGTTGAACTTGATCCCTACCACACACCATCCTTCTACTTTCTTCTCATCACTTATAAAATCCTCTAAACAAACAAGCCTTTTAAAGAGACTGCTGTTTTTATTTTAAATCCTTATTAGATTAAATTTGCAATGTTTTCATTAAAGATGCTCACTTTTGCTCATGTCACTTCTAAAGGGTTTCCTGTAAATGAGTCAGATGACAAGGTGACATTGGAAAAGAAGGAAGTTCTTGTAGCAATTACTGGTTCTAAGAGAAAACACAAAGAAATCAGGTCATTATTAAAATCCTCATGCATTGATCACCTTCCCTTTTTTATAATGCTTCTATTGATTTTTGTTTCCACGAGTATTCTGCCTGATATACACTCAACTAATCCCGGATTTAAATCTAGCTGGGGTAAGTAGTCTACGTGAAGTACTAAAATTGAAGTTGAGTTTGTATATTTGGCATTCCATTCCTGTTTATAGTAACAGTTAAAATTTATGTCTCTTTTTGGCTTGCCGCTTGAAGATATCATTTTTGTTCTATATAAGAGACTTTTTTTTGTTGATGTGAATTTTGAAATCTATTCCTGTTATACATACAATTTGGCCAGCTTCAAAAGTTGTTGCTGTTTCTTTCAGTAGTTTGCTCTCTTCTACAGTTTATATCATTTTTATTGTGACTGTGTTTGTAGAGATACTGAAAGGGGAAGAAGTAAAGGTAAGAGTGAGAATCCATCTCACTTGAAGAAAGTGAAAGTTGAGGCCACTGAACAAGTTGGTCGTAAGGACCAAACAGTTATAGGTGCCTTAAATTCTGTGTCCAGATCAAGTGTAACTAATCCTAAAGTTAGCAAGCCAAAATGCATATCAAAAAAGGAAAGTGCAGAAATTGATATTATGGATATAGTTCAGGATACAAATTGGAAGTCTGTGAAGAAAGGTGCACGAGGCCATCCTGATGGTATGCCCTGTAAACAGAGGGGGAATGCAGCTGGTTTGCGGGTCAAAAAAATAATGAGACGAGTTGATGGTGGAGATTCATCTGTATTAGTACAAAAGTTAAGAAAGGATATCAGAGACGCAGTCCGTGGTAAATCCACTGAGGAGTTTGATAAAAACGTTTTTGATAAGAAACTTCTAGCTGCTTTTAGAGTTGTAGCTGCACCAACAACCGAAACTATGAAGTCACATCTGGATATGAAGGCAAAGCAGTCATTCTTGCAGAAGGGAAAAATTCGTGAAAACCTAACCAAAAAGATTTATGGGATTGGGGGGAGGAGACAACGAGCATGGGCTCGGGAATGTGAGATTGAATTCTGGAAACACCGCTGCCCAAAATCATCAAGGCCCGAAAAAATTCAAACCTTAAAGTCAGTTCTTCACCGCTTAAAAGATGATTCTGAGAATGCGGAGGTTAAGCATGCAAATGGAGAGACAACAAGCTCCATCCTATCAAGGCTATATTTGGCAGATACTTCTGTTCTTCCTAGAAATGATAGCATTAAGCCTGCCTCTGCCCTTAATGATATGGATAACTGTGAGCAGAGGACAATAAATGGCCCGCCCGCAAATGCTCTCTCACCATCTCTCCCAAGTCGTGTCAACACAGTTCTCCAAACCAATGAACCTAAAATACCTTCTAATCTTAATAAGAAATACGATTCTTCATCCCAAGGACATTTGAACAAATGCCAAGAAGGGTCATCCAACTCCACATCAATCAGCTCCAATGTACCTTCCAAAGGGGAATCTGTCACTCCTGAAAATACAAAGTCTGATAAAAGGAAATGGGCTTTAGAGCTTCTTGCAAGGAAAACTTCAGGTGTTGGTAAGAATACAACCAGGGGGAATGCAGTGGATAATGCTGCACTCAAACCAAATTACCCCTTACTAGTATGTTGTCAGATTCCTTTTCAACATAGTTTCTTCTGCCTACTGTTATTCAGACTCTTTACTGTTGTTTTCCTGCATTTGTTAATAGGCTCAACTTCCAAAAGATATGCTGCCTGTTTTGGCGCCCAGCCGTCACAATAAGGTTCCCATGTCAATCAGGCAGGTAAAAACCATATTCATTTCCTTGTTTCTACACTGAGTAAATGGCCCTAGATTAGGGAATTTGGAGGATGACAATTAAAGTTGTTGGATAATGTGACTTGGGACTCGGGCTATAGGAGTGACTTGTGAGTTAGGCATATACAGTTTGCAGGGGTTTGTATATTTGTTTGGTTTATATACATAATTGACCCCCTTTATGCATTCCAGAGTTGTTTTACTATTACCATCATACAAAGTACTACGTATTTTTTTTTCTTTCTAGTTTTTATGGTTTATTTATTGAACCAAGGGTCTTTCTGAAACAGCTTCTTTACATTTATAGGTATGGTATGGTGTTCATACACCCACTCTCCCATGCCCCACTAATGAGACCTTACTTTGTATCATATGCATATTAGCATTGTACAATCTACTTCTTAATCCTACTTGCAGTACTCCCAAAATAATAGAAAATAAATCCCTATGAACATGCAGTTACTTGAAATAATTGTTGTTACATTTAGTTTCTCATTTAGGATAATGATTTTGGCATGTTTTCTGGAGCTCCAAATTTTTGCAAGCGTTTGTTACTTTCTGTCAGCTCCTTCTGAGTGTTGCAGTTGTGTCATTTAATTGATTTAGGGCATTAACTCAGTTCACTTCACCTTCATTGTTATTAGGGATTTGGATATGGAATACTTTATCGATCTTCTAGTAGGAAATCAGGGATAGCTCACGGGGTGAATTTTCGGGGATATGAATATGACACTACAATAGTTAAACGGGATATGGTGATTGAAACAGAAATTGTGGGGATCGAGTGGTATACAATAATGTCTGGGCGGTGGATTGGGTGACAAAATCACAACAGTATGAGGTCTCATGATCTTACTTGTTTTTTGTTGGACTTGTGTTATTAAAAAATAAACCGTTCAGTTACTGAAGCTTTACGTGATTGATCTGAGTATCTCATTGGTGATCTTTAAATGTTTGGAACAGGCTCAACTTTACCGCCTTGCAGAACATTTCTTAAGAAAAACAAATCTTGCAGTTATTCGTAGGACTGCAGTAACAGAGTTAGCTGTTGCTGATGCCATAAACATTGAGAAGGAGGTTGCTGACAAGTCTAATAGCAAATTAGTATATATTAATCTCTGTTCTCAGGAGCTACTTCGTAGATCAGATAATACCACATCTGACAAAGTGAAAGGGTTGAATCCTGGGCAATGTACTGAAATGCCATCAAATAATATATCAGAATCGTCAATTGAGAATCAATATGCTGACCCTGAAGTCAATGAGGCTCTAGAAAATGCCGGGCTTTTGTCTGATTCTCCACCAGGTACTCCACAGAGGCCTATCGAGCAAATTGAAGTCCTGAATTGCTTCTCAAATGAGGTTGATGGTGATGGACCATCTGATGTTTTTGAGGCTGAAGCTCCTCCTCCGGATCTTGATATTTACGGGGATTTTGATTACAATTTGGAAGATGATTTTGCGGTAGGTGTTAACAGTTCTGGGATCATTCCTGAGCCACAACTCGGAGAAGAAGCTAACAAATTGAAAGTCATATTCTCTACACTTAACCCTGCTGATACATGTACTGTCACTCTTGAAAAACCGAATATTGAAATAGATGAAACTGTTGAAGGTCCCAAGGATTCTTCTTGCTTGGCTGACAAAGTTGTTTTGAGCACTTGTTCATTAGTTAATACTGACAATAGAGACAACTGTGTCCCTCATAGTTCCGTTGTCGATGGTGGTGAGGAGCTTTCTATTCTGGATTGTGAGGAATTGTATGGGCCTGATAAAGAACCACTCATCAAAAAATACCCTGAGATGGCATCAATGAAGCCACCTGAGCTGGTAATTGATAATCAAGTCTCACAAAGGAACAGGGACTGTGAATCAAGCGTAGCACCCAATTCATCTAATAAGCAAGAAAGTAAGAGTGGCATGAATAATTTGGAATCTGCTGCTTCTTCTGAGGGTCCTGCAATCACAGAAAAGAATTCACCTAAAAAAAATCGCAAAGGGAGTGAAAATGCAAAAAGAGGGGACCCTTTAGCTAAATCCAATACCAGAAAGGAATCAGATAAGACCAATCCCGTCTCAAGAAAGGTACTACTAAATGAGTATAATCTGTTTTCCTACTTCACATTCCTTACCCTTCAACGGTCCCACCTCAAAAATAAAAATGTCATGAATTATTATTAATTACTACTCCCTACGTTCTTGAAAACACTTCCGTCCTAATTTTTTGCGCACCTCATAAAATACTTTTACTTCCACCTAAAATGTCTAAAATACATCCCATTATGTAGTTTATTGCGGGTATAAGTTGTTTTTGGAGGTATTTTAGACATTTTAGGTAGATTAAAATATTTTATGGGGTGCGCAAAAATTTAGGGCGGAAGTGTTTATCCAAACGGAGGGAGTATCTTTTACTCCCATAGTTGGCGGAAGAAAACTGGGAGAGTAATTTGGTTGGTACTGCCCCATGATCTTTACTCCCCTTGCATGCTCCCAACTCTTAAAGGATAAACAAACACATAAAGAAAATGGAAAAAGTAAACTTTTATGACCCTCTTGATAGGGAAAAGAATGCTTTTTCAGAGGAAAAAATTGCAGAAACTGCATAGCCTCTAGATTTCTACACCTTTTTTTGCTGACAACCTTGGTTGATGTGTGCATGGCATATTATTAATTAATTGAGCATTTTCCTATAGGTTGAAGCTTATATCAAAGAGCATATCAGACCACTATGCAAGAGCGGCGTGATTTCAGTCGAACAGTACAGGTGGGCTGTGGGCAAAACTACTGACAAAGTTATGAAGTTTCATTCAAAAGATAAAAATGCTAATTTTCTCATCAAAGAAGGTGAGAAAGTTAAGAAACTTGCAGAGCAGTATGTTGAGGCTGCGCACAATATGCCAAAGAAGGAATAGGAAAGAAAGTAATATTCAGTCGATGTATAGCTTTTTCTTTTGTGTTTCATTTTGCTTTTTGTTTCCTCCCAAAAGAATTGTAAACACAAGAGTGTGGACGGTTTGTTGACAGAATTGCTTTGACAGAGCTATGTATAAAGTGAGCAATGCATCCACATTTTGATGGTTCTCAAAATTCTGCAGTCAAAGGTAAGACATGCATACAAAATTTGGCAGACATTCTAGTCCTTATGTATATGCTTCTTTGGGCATTTTGTAAGTATTCTAGGGAAGAAACCCAAAGAATCTTGAGCTTGGCATTGAAGACTCAAACCCAGGAATGATCAAGCCTTAAAGATTGATAATGCACTTGACATTATTGAGTTATTCTTCAAAGTATTTTGTCTTCATGGCATGCCAAAATATATATTGTATATGATCTACATATCAAAATTTTATCAAAGTTTTTGAGCTTTTCCTAGAAACACTCTGGGACCAGCATGGCACTCGACTACTACGAGTGTTTTCTCCCACGGGTCATCCTCACACAGATGGGTTGAGATACCACATCGATTCAAATAGCCTCAAGGGAAACTTGCATACAAGGTGCTGAGTTTGTTAATACTCATTGTACATTGAGGGAGGCTCCCTCCTAGTGTTGATCCAAAAAGCTACAAGTCAATGGAAACTTGCATACAACTTGCTTATTTTGTGGACAGGTGCGTTCTTCTAGCGATCATGTTTGAATCTGTTATTGGCTTTAAGGTTTTCAGCTACTTCAAATTTGATGTTTTTGCGGGGAAATGATGTTTGGAATGTTTGGCTTTAAGGCACCAAAGACAGTTTATACATTACACATAAAGATCTCTAAGTGTTCATAGGTAGTAGCACAAGTACATTTTTTATTAGTACCACAACTACATTTTTATTAGTTAATATATATATCTTAGGATGCCTGCTTTATTGAAATCAACCTCCCAACGGGTTTTAGTATGCTTTTGAACTTTAAAATCTTGACCACCACGCTACGAAATATCCAAGGAAAGCCTGTATAACATGATTCAAATGGCATTTGTACTCGAGTAATCAAAGGAACATATGGGTGTGGTTGTGGTGCAAGCCACAGATCAACTTGCACGCTCTAACAAGCCGTTTGGATGGAGATAAACCTTTTTTTTCTTTCTAAAATGAAAGTTTTAAAACTTGATGTATAATTCTTGAGTTTGTCTTTCTTTGAAAACTTTTTGGAAGAGTTTTTTGCATCGTCTATTCATGATTTTTCTAAAAATCGCACGAATGTCTCCTGAACCTTTAAAAATGTTGTATTGATCATTTTTCTCTGTCAGATTTGGGAGTGCGTTAATCACATGTTCATCAATATACTTGTTGGAACTTGATGAAGATGTCATGGATTGATGAAGATGCCGATCGATTGATGATGAACTTTACAAACTGATTTTCGGCCTTTGAATTTAGTTACCGGTGACTAAATTGAGAATAATTATATAAGGTTTAAAGAGGCTAAAATTATAGAAGATAATATTTTAAAATGACATATTGCAAAACTCATGTGATATATCACTTTAGATGAATGCATACTTACACTGGATGTGTGTGGGATTAACGCACTCTAAAATTTGGCGTAAGACCATTGGTGCAACATTTTTAAAAGCTCAGGGGTACATGTGCAACTTTAAAAGTTGAGGGGGAATGCACATGGTTTTTAAAAAGTTTATGGCTAAATGGCACAAAAACTCCCTTTTTGAAATGGTAGTCCTCTTTCACCATAATTTGTGTAATTCCAAGTTACACATGTCATTACTCTATAGCTTCCAAAACCCTCAACCTAATGAGGCATTGGTTGTCGATTAAAGGTTAGTAGTTATGGTTGTCCATTACATTACTTGTTCACTTGAATTTTGAACGAACTATTAAATGAATAATATCAAAGTTTAGACCATCACAAATTAATGTTGGAGGTACAAAGACTCGCTTCAAATAATCAGACATAGAGTCAGACGCTCGAGCCAAAAATGGGCAACCTCATTTGCTGCTAGTGCCTTGAATTTCCCTACCACAACCCAAAAATAAGAAAAACTCTCTTCTGGTTGAGGGGCTAGAAAAAGTTTTCGGTTATGCCCTTCCCCTCCACCAATAGAGCACTTTCCACTCTTCCCATTCCGCGACGCGCCCTGGTGACAAAGTGTGCCTGTCCACCCCATATCAACATTCTCACTTTTGCCGCGTCCGTATTTAAATTGAAGCTCGCATCCATATTGCACTTTAGCATGCCTAATTAAGGTTTGAGGCTTCAATTTGACACTCTTCTCCACAAGTTGTTGTTGCTTGCATGTATTTGTTCCTCCAAACGAATCTCCTACAAAACCACTGCCCTAACTCCCTGGTTCAAAGAGCTCCGCCACCCTTAGGTTACCCACCTCTCGCGGCAATAAAATTTGTACACGCGATTTCTGTTGGGTTTGTGGAGGCTTGGGCTTGACTTTTGGCCCGATCCATGTTACGAAACCCTAGATGCACTCTTCCTATATATATTGCATACTTGTACTTGTAATTCGCACCACAAGTGAAATAAGAAAATCCTCATGTTGCCGTCGTGGATTAGGGAAACCGAACCACGTTAAATTCTTGTGTGTCGTTTGTGTTCCGTTTCTCTCGTTTCTCGCAGATTATCTGTGTGTGTTGTGTGTTTATTTCCCAACAAGTGGTATCAGAGCCTTGTTCAACACGAGCACGAATTGCGAGTTGTCACCTAGGGTTTTTGGGATCTGTGCGCAGTCGCCGGAGGGTAGAGGGAGCATAAGGGAAGCCGTTGAGAATCGCCGCTGACCCAGTCGCCGTCGAGTTCGCCGCTGGGTCTTGAACCGCAGCGAGGAAGATCGCTGACGTCGCTGCTACGTGTTGCCGCCGTCGAGCTCCCAGATCTCCGCCGCCGTTTGCGTATAGACCGCCGCACGCAGGAGCAGCGGCAGAAGGAGCCGCCGCCGCGTGGAGGAGCCGCATCGCCATATCGAAGCTGTGCCGTTTCAGGTCGCTCAGCCGCCGTCGTCTACCTGTGGTGCCGCCGCCGTCGGGAACCGTCCATCCGAGATTGTGCAGAGCCGCCAACCCAGTTGCTGTAGCGCCGCCTACCTGCGAAGAAGAAAAGCAGGTTGATCGAAGAAAAGTTGGTACGAGGGAAAAAAGGTTGTGTGCAAGGTGTTGGGCCGAAGNTAAACAATAGAACAAAATGTAATTCTTTCCTTGTTCAAAACCATCAGTTTTCTATGTTGGATGGCTCAAAATAAATTCCATCTTTCTTAATAAAACTCTGATAAGACGAACTCTAGTATTCAAACCAAAATGTTAGGCACTGAAAACAAATTTACTAAATAAGATGAGTGTGGTGGAGTCTGAGCCGGAGCTCTTTTGGAAACAGTCTCTCTACTTTATAGTAGGGGTAAGGTCTGTGCATACACATTACACACACTCCCCAAACCCTACTGTTGTGGAATTTTACAGGGTTGTTGTTTGTTGTAAGATAAGTGTGGTGGAGATGAATACATTGCAATGCATGTGTGGTAATACTAGAAAAGATAGAAGAACAAGAAGACCATAACATTAAGATTTGATTATTGTTACCACACACCAACACTGGTCTTTTCCAGCATGCTTTGTCCTCACTCACATCCTTCTCGAGACAATTTCCAAGGTCACTCATTCCATAATTTCTCCAAGTCAAGCAAGCAAGTTCTCAAGGGATTAAACCTAAAAAAATAAGATTATGTTGTTGGTATGGATAATAACTATCAAACTCTCCACATGATTCTGGATTGTACAATCCTATACATGCACAATCATGGTATCGCTTAGTTGTGCAGCCCCACCCCTACACAGCCTCAATATCCCTCTCTGAAAATGCCGATCGGTTCATTCATGTGCCCCCTGCCTAGAAGATTGCCGGGAGCTGCTCTATGATCACTCCACGCTCCATCATCCACAAACATCAGATTCACAGGATATATGTAGCAGTTATTTAAGATGGAGGGAGAACTAATAACATTGGTTGGGGACTTCGTGCACATCAATTCTCATGGAGAGTGGGGTCATGGAATGTAAAGAGAAGTCGAGGTATGCCAAAAATGACTTGTATTGAAGGAGTAAAAAGGTATATCGAAGTGTTGGAGCTTTATGAGCACATGGTACATCGGTACATGGTACAAAGGAATGAAAAAGAAGATTTAAGTGAATGACCTAAAGAGATTTGCTATACAGGACAGAGTGTTGCCACTACAGACTACCCACGTGCAAAAGCTGTAACAAAAATGTGGATGTGTACATCGATGTGCAGAAATACTAGGAAGCATAAGGCTAGAAACAAGACAATACATGCCAATGTGGGAGTGACTTCTGCAGAAGAAAAGATGCATGAATTGAGGTTGAGGTGTCTCGGACACAGAGGATGAACATTGATACCCTTGTGAGGAGGTGCAAGAGGTAAGCAGTGGAGAATTTAAGAAGGGATAGACCAAGGAATAGTTGACGTTAGATGTAATATATTGTTTCTGCCACCTACAGAGGACATGACCCTTAATAGGGGAGATTGGAGGTCGGAGATTAGGGTGTTAGGGTAATTTGACGTTGGAATGGAGTTGCAGAAGGAAGTTAGTGTACATGAATACCTTTGTAGGGATTTGTGTATTTATGTACTTTCTCCCATAAAATGCTTTAGAATTCTTTTTCGGACATCCCAAAAAACTTTATACTTTATTTCTTATTTTACTAAGGAATATGTGGCTCACAATATTTCTCTCTTATCCAAACAAATTCTAACCATATTCTTTTTTACTTTTCAACACTTTTTTTAATTGCGTGAGAGTCAACCCGTAAAACATTTTAATGGCACGGAGGGAGTAATTTCTATTTACTCGTATAAATCGTCTTTTATTTTTTATCGTGGTAACCTGTTTTTGTTTGTGCCTGTGCAAGTGTTTTTTTTGTCTGAGGGAATTTCGGAAACAACCACTTGACTTTTATGGGGCAACGTCTACGCACACCCACCCTAGATCCTATTAGTGGGACATTATTGTGTTGTTGCTGCTCTTGCTGACCTTCATTGATTTGAGATTAAAGCTTGGTTTTTCTGAAGTTGTTCCCTCATTTGGTTAACTTTTTCTTGCAAATAATAATCTCTTGTTTTTCCTATCTTAAAAGATGTATTAGCCACTTCTTATGGGCATAAAAGGAAAGTCTACGCATAAATACACTTTTTATGAGTTTCAAACCCAATGCAAGGTTTTTTAGGGACAAATCGGAGTGCATCTTAGCATATACTCTGTATTAACTAAATGTACTTCAGGCTTCAATTCTAAATGTGCATTAGTGTAAAGGTTTAATACTTTAATTGTTTAAAGATAAACACTGTCATCTGATCTAAGATTGTAAACTTTTCTTACAACATTTAGCCTCGTTGTTTATACTAATTTCACCTGTTTTATCTCATGTTTATAAGCATCTCGTAGTAAAAAGGCAGAAAATGCCATGAATGTCCTAGAGAAGTAGGAAGGGATCGTTGGGGTGCCATGATTAAAGTACAAAAACAACCCAGCATAATCCCAACTGTATTGGGGCCTTTTGGATCAAGGTGTATGCAATCTTACCTTTGTAAAAACAAAGAGGTTGTTTCTGTTAGACCCTGAATGCATTGCTGCACTTATTTCCCAAAACATAAGAGGAAGTAAATAGCAAGGGAAGTTAAATGTTCCATTTTGATTTAGTCCATTATGCGCCCGAAACTAAAAGTCAATAATGACTTTTTTAGCTCCATTGGCAATGGGAGGGGTACCATGGTTAAAGTAACATTTTAAAATACATTACTAATACGAAAGAAACTACTTCGTGTTACTAACAGTAATAAGAAACTAATACTAAGATGTTAAGTTCTCATAGTTCAAATTAACCAAAGAATCCACTCTCATTATGTTATCCAATAATCCACTCTAATACTAAGATGTTATCCATTGGATATGCATAAAAATCAAACCTCAAATATCATATCTTACAAATAATATTTGTGTACTATACAAATAATTCCTTGTATATTATGAGACCGCTTTAAGTGACAGGCAAAGTGATGACATTGTCGAAAGTGCATATTCGGCTGAGAAATTTTGAAAAAGTTCATGGAAGTGTATAATAGGTGTATTAAACTTAAATTAACTTACAGATGGAGAGAGAAAAATCAAATAATATGAATGAGACAAATTTTTCCTTACAAGGAAATAGAAAGTTCAATTAGAAACAACCCAAAAAGAAAAGTGAGAAGTTTATTTTAGAAAAAAGTGAGTATAAAACAAGACTCTCCGCCTCCAAATGGATGTCCCATTGTGTTTAATACTTTAATGAAGCTCGAGTGAAGTTATTTTAAATTCAATTTGTTTGGTATAGAACTTAAAAATAAATTTAAATATTTAAAAAGTTTAACACCTCTATCTCACTATAGTTGTCCCTTTTTACCTTTTTTGCCCATCTCACTACTTTTGTTTCATACTATATTTGCTCATGTTTGTGTGGTTTACATTCATTCTTACTTTATCCTACTTTTTGACACCAATATCAAACACACAATCTTACTTCTTTAATCTTCGTGCCACTGCCTCATGCCCCAGGGATGGAGAGAGTATAAAACAAGAGGTGGTTTACCCATCTTATTTTAACAAACGATTAACGAAAATAAATAAATAAAGAAGATATAGTTTGACTTGTGAATAGTGCACCATGCCATCCATTTAGGGACGAATGGAATATAATTTATGAAAAAATAAAGGCCCGAGTTAATGAGTTTTGACTGAAAACCCAAATTAGTGAAGCATATTCAAGGACGGATGAGTTGATCAGTTCTCACGGAACCTGACACTGTTACTCATTCAAGATGACTAGCTTGGCCATATAACATATGTGATTTCACACTTAGGTGTTATTACATTTTGCACTTCCCTACAATGAAGACTAAACAAATATCAGCACCTCTTCTAATACTGGTACAGATCAGCATCTCTTCTACTACTGTTAGAGACATGAGTTCTTGGTACTGAGATTTAAGACACCAACAGTCAGCAAGACATACTCCCTTCGCCCCCATAAAAAAATGTATCATTGTGATAACAAGCTTTGACTGAAGTTATTTTCAAATCAATTTAAATAAACATTGGTGAAAAATTTAAAAATAAATTTATATATTTAAAAACTATTAAAAGCTCTATAAAACAATAGGAATTAGTGACATGACCGTTATTTTAACAAATGATTAACGAGAATAAGTCAAAAAAGAAGAAAAAGTTTGACCTATGAATATATGCTAGAAATGTTGCTAGCTTTTTCAGGGACGGCATGTCAGATTTGCCATTCTCTGGCTTCCATGAAGAAAAATAAAAACAAAAACAAAAAAGTTACTGTATTGACAACATTAGATAATACCTTGGCTCTCTTGAACAAATCCCTAATACGAGCAGCGCCAACACCAACTAGCACTTCGACAAATTCAGATCCAGCCATTTGGTAAAAGGGAACACCGGCTTCACCTGCTATGGCCTTGGCAACTAGTGTCTGAATAAAGCATGCAGTTAGTACTTCATTATACAATTGATATAAAGGCTATCAGTACTTAGTCAAAGCTTTAAGTATAGACTTTAAACTAACCTTACCACAACCAGGTGGACCCTCCAGAAGAACTCCATGTGGTGGTTTTATCCCCATTTTATCAAATAGATCAGGATTCTTCAAGTATGTTACCAACTACAACACGTACAGATGCAAATTATCCAAGACCTCAGTTAGGTGTTAAGATGCCTTAAAACATGGCAATGAAATTATAGGTTGAGAATTGGCCATGATGACTAACAAGACTAAAAATTGTTCTCCATATATACAGTAGGACACTATAAAAGAAAGTTGGCTATTAGATATTAATAAAATGCTGATTCAAGCACATCAACCTTGGTATTCTAAAGAGTTGATATGATGAAAAAGTTAAATATATTTATAAGCTTCTGTATCTAGGTGCATACTATTTCTAGTCTGACCAAAGAAAAGGATGGTATAGACAAATATATGACTTCTTATGATATTCAGTAGGCTTTCAATTTGTATCCTTCTCTGTTTTTAACAGGCTAAAACAATCAAAATAGTTACCTGTTTTAATAATTCCAATGTGCTAGATAAAATTGCATGAAAAAAGCAGATCAGAGGTTTAAAACATCAGCTACCTCCTGAAGTTCTTCCACAGCTTGCTCGATCCCAGCAACATCATTGAATGTGACTCCAGTTGAACCCTGAAAGACCAGTACGTAGAAGCAAAACAGAAATGGCCAATTACCCCATTTTAATGGACAGTAGAACACTTTGAAATGGGGTGAACAGTGTGGGGAACAAAAAAATTTACACTCACATCCACACGAGCTTGTGGCTTAGACTGAGAAAATTCAATGCCTTGCCAAATGTCCTGCATGAAGCATAAATGAACTCAATTATCAAACACTAGAGAGTCAATCAGACCACCAAACCAAGACATTATAAAAAAATTGGGTCTGATGCTCAGTGCTCACCCATTTCCTAAAGTTCTTAGGTCTTCTTGAAAGAGTGAAACGAACAAGGAGAACCATAGTGATAAATACAAACAGGATTGGCTTCAGCAATCTAAGACTGGCAGAAATACCACCAAAAGTGTAAAGCTGATGCAACTTGGCAAAAACTCCAACAGCAAAAGCATCATAAATTTTATCCCAAACTCTCTCTAAGACATCAAAAATAATGCCAGAGAAAAACTTGACAAATGGTTTGGCAACAGGCCATACAACATATACAGCCACAACACATGCAAAGCTTGTCATAGCTAATAATGCTGAAGCAAGGAAGCCATAAGCAATCACTGCAGCTAATGTCATCAAAGCTGTTAGCATCCCAAGTTGTCCTATCAGTCTAGTTGATATTTTAGATGCCACTGGAAGACAATGCTCTGGCAATCTTCCAACATATGACTGCACATTACATTGCAAAGTAAGTGAGGGAACACCCAGAAGAAGACAGCATTCATCACCAAGTCATGCCACCTGGTGCTTCTTGGAAAATTGATACTTGATAGAGCAAAATCGCACAGCATAATCTGTGTATATACTATATGTTGATTATGTTCCAGAATACATCATACTCCCTCCGTTTGCAAAAAAGGTTCCTACTTTGACTTGGAGCCAAAATAAGGAAGTGTAAAATTATAGTTGACTTCCAATTTTGCCCCTGATGTGATGGGTAAAAGTAAAATGTGATGGATTGGTTATTAGAGAAAAAGTATGATGTGATAGGTAGGGTATGAAAAAGTAAGGGTAAAAGTGGTTTTTTAATAGAAAGTGGAAGTGTTTTGTTGGAAGTGAAAAAAATGAAAGAGGAAGTGTTTTTTAGAACGGAGGGAGTACATTTTTTCACATTGTTTCATAAAGTTACATCCCAATAGATGGTAACACATACACAATGACTAACAAGAAAATTGACAGTTAACTGACTACAATTTCAAACATTTAGAACCCATTTCATGGGTTATTCCATTGACATGGATGATATGGCTGGAAAACAAATTAAATCTATTCAAGCCAAATAAGTCATAAGTCTTAAATTGATTATTCTAATTTTACTGCTGCAGAAAATACACCACTTTTGGCTACCAAACGGGCTCTTAACAAGCATGATGTCCTCAAGCAAAAAGGAAATAAACTGAGTGGTCATCTAGAATCTCATGTCAATCATTTCCTAATGTTTTCAATCTGACTGTGGGGTTAAATATAAAACTAGTTCATTTATATAATGTTTCCATAAACCTCTCTTGGCATATAGCACTCCATGGCTTATATTTGCCATTAGCTTTCATTCTACTTTAAAATGATAAAACCATGCATTGTTGTTTTTTGAATCTCCATTTTTTTTTGTTTCAAGTATTTAGAAGACTAAAGCTAAATCTTTCAAAGAAATCCAGGATGATAGCACATAGATAAACAAAAAAATGAATGTTGGGGAGATTATATAAAAGATCCAGTTCCACCATTTGCCTCTCGACTTCATACCGCATCCCAGTGTACTCATCCAGAAGGGTTTTTGCCAGATTTGAATCCAGCCTTAGTGTCCTAAAGGAAATAAATAAATAAAAATTTAAAGTAAATTAGAGATCACTGGCACTTGGCCAAAATAAAGATATAAAATAAAATTGCACTCCTTTGTGTTGCTGACCACTTAGTTCTGTGCAAGTTCTTATCACCGGGGATTTCCTTCAACTCCACTACTAAGTCCCTTAACCCAAACCTTTCATTTGAGTCATCCCCCTCTTTGAATGTTACCAGCTTAACCTTGTCAGCTTTCAAGCACTTCTGGAAATCCTCCAACTCCAATCTCGGTAACTCCTGCACATTCTTATCAAATTCCTCTTCTTCTGATAAGCGGGACTGGAAAACCTGTTCGGGAACGTACAGCTTCCCTTTATACCCCCTCAAAATGTCCTTCAAATACACCTCCCCGGGCTTCCCAGTCCGACCTTCTTCTTGCCTTTGCCCCCAAAATGCCTTCAAATTCAACTTCTTTAGAATCTCAAAGGCCCCAGCATCAAAACCCTTTTTCCGCAACTCCTCTTTTTCCTTGCGAGTAAGTAATTCATCCCCTATTTTGTATCTGGGTTCTACTTGGCAGGGGTTTTGCCTCAAAATCCTTGTTATAAAGTCGCCGCCGCTACCTTCCTTCCTGTTGAACTGCTCGGAACCTTTCGAATTGGACTCGGGTTTCCCAAGGATTGCGCGCAGGCGGCAATAGGACGGCGATCTTTTAGGGAAGTTTCGGGAAAATTTGAGGTTTTGGTGTCGTTTGTGGAGTGAAAAGTCGATTGTGAATGAGGTCCGGCGGTGAGTATTCGTCCGGTGACGAATGAAGACAGGTGATGATTTCCAGGTTTTTGACGAGCCAGGTGAAGAGCAAAACATGGCTGCTTATCAACCCAGAGAATGTGGTTCCGCAGGAGTTTTTGCATCTATCAAAATGCTATGCGAACATGTAGCGGCGATTTCTGGGCGCTAGAACGGGAATGTGGTCTTTGTGTCATCTTAGCTGGAGTTAAGAGAATTGTAAAAAGTACTCAAAGTAGAGGAATGAAGGGAGGAATAACATATGTGAGAATAAGATATGTGAGGGGGAAAGAAGATACACCACTTATTTACTTATTTAAGTAATAAAGAAATACTTATTTTTTTAATATGTATGTCAATTGTGAACTTTAGATTCACCATAGAATTTGCCATTAAGGAGAAGGACCAAAATAGTAGTAAAACATGTCACATATACTCAAAATAAGAGTTGAAACATAAACTCCCTTAAATAAGAGTAATTAACTTTTAATTAATCTAATAGCTTAAAATTAAGGAGCTAAATACAAGTAAAACATTGACCATGTACCAAAATAGAAATTATATTCATATTACAAATATGATATTAAATACATTTTAAAAATTAAAAAATCCTAATTAGCTACTATACAGCCCCTGCCGCCATCGCCGCTACGGTCATCACCGCCACTCCATCGCCACAATCTCCTGCTGTCGTCGTTATTAAATGCGGTTACTGTTGGAATTTTTGGCAATTTTAATAGGCATTAAATGGACCAACTTGGGTATATTTATCAATAGGTCCACTAACAGTTTTAACCGTTAATTAATGGACGTGTGTTCTCTTAAATGAGATAAATGTTTTGATAATTTATACGCCAAAAATGGTAGAGGGTGAATGAGAAATTGATTCTCAGAGTTAACCCGTTAATAAAAGAATATGGTAAAGATTGTAATTTTTTGCAATTTTACTGAGCCAATCTTCTATTATTAATTTTACGTATTGTTTAAAATTAGTCCTTTTTACGGAGTTAACTGGCCATTAATCTCCAATTATTCGGGACAAATTTTAAACGGAGCGTACCGTAACGGACGTGTTAATGGCTAATTAATCACCATTAACACGTCATTATTGTGCCACAAATGCCATGGATTAATGGTGTAGGAGTTACACTTTTTAAAATTCCTTAGTTATAAATATCAAAGGCTCTCCATTGTTTAGTGTGGTGTGTTTTGTGGGTGCTTCACGTGAGAAACAAAAAGAAAAAGAAAGAAAATCTTTCTTGTTTATTTTTTTTGAGAGAGCTCTTGGTTTTCCGGCCAAATTTCCGGCAATTCCCTTCAAAGTTTTTTTGGTCGCCAACGTTCCTACGTTGTTTTTGTTCGTTGGTGTGTGGTTGGTCCATACATCTCCACACACGATAGTGGTTTTATCCTGGAAGGAGAGTGCCCACGTTTTTCCGGTACGGTAGGCGGGCACTACTACCTTAAGGACAGCTCCGGCGACTCCGCTGTCCTTCACGGTGTTTTGTTTTGCAGGTTTAGTTCATAAAGACCTCGCTGGATTCTGCCCTAGTGCATAATGTCCTCGCAGCCCAGTGCATAATGTCCTTGCTCAGGTCACGTATTACAGGAGCTACAGGTCACAAATTACAGGAGTATGTTGTTCCAACAAACTTCTATATATTTAAATAAAAGTTAAGACAAATAGAACATTATAAGACTTATTCAATATTTAAGTCTTAAAATAAATAAAAATAAAACCGAGGCCGTTCATCTTCCCCGTCCGTTGTAATCCGTACAAAAATTGTAACAGTCACCATATACATTGTTGCTGCCACTACGCCACCACGGTCGGCAAATTCGCTGTCATCGCCACCGCAATCTGCTACTCTCATCCTCATTTGTTGTGGATGCTGCTCCATCGCCCCATTTGTTATTGTCAATTTCACAACTTACTGCCAACGTTGGGATCAGGACTGTCATTATTGCCACCATAGTTCCATGGTGTCACTACCAAAGGAAAAAGCTTTCAATACAATGCCAACCAAAACCAGAATGTCAAAGACAATAATGTATACTGACAAACATGTCATTGCATAATGTCAAACATGTTATTGTCTAATGCCAAACATGTCAATATAAAATGTCAAAAAGAAAGTGAAATGTCAAGATTGTCAATATACAATATCAAGTTTCTTATCACTATCACCAAATTTCGCTGAAATTAGGAGCAAAATTTAAACACAACTAATAGACAAACAATCAAGCAAAAAATTAAAAGAAAAACAATCAAATACAAAAATGAAAAGAAAAAACCAAACCAAAATCAATGCCTAATGAAAATGCAATTTTTTGAAGTATTTCTTACTTCTATAATGCAGCCTCAATTATAGAGCATTTGGAAGCTAATTAAAAAAAATAGACTGCTGGAAATCTCAGCTCTGATGGATATAGGCGGTGCGATATATTTGCAACTCTACAAGGGGGGAGAAATAGAGGCGGCACTTCGCGGCGGATCTACATGGGGTGCTTTGTGGCATATCAACAAAGGGGGAAGTTAGTGCGGCGGCATTGCAAGGAGTGGGGCAGCGGTGATGTACTGCACTTGGAGTGGATTTGACAGAGGCAACGCTTCAAAATAGTGAGGGTGGTGGCCAAAAATGAGAGAGAGCGAAGAGAGAAGCATGGTGGGCTGGTCGTGAGGAGCAGAGACTATAAGTGAGTAATAGATAATGACTAAAAGTGTTACATTGAAAAATAAAAACATAAAATGATATTTAGGATAAGTCATTATGTTTTAGTGTCATATATTTAGATAAATTTCTTGTAAAAATAACACTTGCGATAAGGGAGTTTGACTAAAAGGCATTTACTTGAATAATGAGTAATGGATAATGACTAAAAGTACTACATTAGAAAATACAAACATAAACTGATATTTAGAAAAAGTCAATATGCTTTAGTACTATTTAGATAAATTTCTTGTAAAACTAACATTTGCGATGAGGGAATTTGATTTTTCAATATTGACAAAATACACTTAAAGACTAAGCATATAGGGAGTAAATAATAACCTACCATTATTGCATGTGCTGACCGGAGGAGTGTGAAGATTGCAGGCAGCCGGGAGGGTTTAATTAATTACTCCTATTTAGAGGAGTTTAAGTTTATGCTCCTATTTTGAAGATATGACATATGTTTTACTCCTATTTGGGGGGTTTTCTTTAAGAGAAATAGATTAGAAAGGAGAGAGATGAGAAAGGTGAAATATTGTTCCTCTAGAAAGAAAATAAAGTGATTGGACAATTATTTTTCTAATTTTTTTATACAAAGAGATGACATGTGAAAAAAAATTAAAAACATATGTGATGATTAAATAAGGGTGGAAAAAATTTAAGGAGAAAGAGATGTAACATTAGAAATAGATGATCTCGAAGAGGAATAGAGGAGAATAATTAGTGATGCTCTAAGATCATCTCCAAGAGAATGGTTAAAAAATGAGTTGAAAAATGTTATTTTAACAAGTAAATAGTGTTTTATCAATCCATTTTTTAGTCATCCCTCCAACCATGACATCTAAAATACCTATTTATTACTACATTTTATGTATCTAGATAACATATCATATGGGAGAAAGACCAAAGTAGGACTAAAACATTGAAAATATACCAAAATAGGACTTCAATGTTTTTATTCCCGAAATAAGACTTACATTACCAAACATGGTCATATACATTACCAAAAAAGTATAATAATTTGCACATGTACACTGCCACATTACCACAATGCAAGGTCACATTACCACAGTGCAAAGTCCTATTCCGGGAAAAAAAACATGAAAGTCCTATTTTGGTACTTTTCTCTATGTTTTAGTCCTATTTAGGATGATTTCTAATATCATATTTACATTATTATCATTAAAAAATCCTATCTAGATAAAGTTTCTATTACCTCATGTATCAATGAGATATAGGCATGGACACGGTTCGGTTCTAGTTCCGGCACCCCCCCCCCCGCCCCCGCCGTAATCGCCCCCTGCAGACGCTAGTTCTGAGACAGTTTTCCGATTCTATTTTTTCATTTTATAATATTATATATTTATATCTAAAACAATTTAATCTAAACATGTAGTTGTTATTTGAATGCTAAAAATTGGATATTACAACTACCTTTATTACCTTGATAGTTAAAAAAAGGGATGAGGTAAATAACTGCTAAAAACCCTCAAAGGAGCTTATAAATCGCTCACCTAAAAAAACTAATTGTAATTTGAGAAAAAAAAACTAAATTATTCATCGGAACGACCACTTCCCTCTGTGTTTGCATCCATGTGATTTTGTGTACCCATATCGTAGCTTGCCTCTTGTGCTCGACGCCCTGCAAATAGCCAATCTCGCTTGCAAATATGTGTCTTAAGCGGTTCCATGCTAAGCGAACTCCAAAAGTCGGTTAAAATGTTTCCACTAGAATCGAACTCTTGTTCCACATCTAAGGTTGAAACTCGCATAGATAACACGTGTATGGTTAGCATTCTGAGTGACGGGAACATGTGTTCATTCCGCTTCCACCAGTCGATGACGTTGAACTCGTTGTCGTTGTTTTCATCGTAGTCACATGGGATGTCTTGGTACATCAAAAGTTTGTTGTGCAAACTTATTGTTGTACCACCAGTACTTGTAGATGTACTCTTACCTTTTCTCACAAAAAGGCCACCAACTATCCCTTTAAAACCTTTCTTTGTCTTCGAGGCAAGAGGAGCTGTTGTTTCTTCCGGAGGAGTACTATACAAAACTTGAAATTCTTCATATAAATAGTCAAAAGGGTAGTAGCGTTATTTCTTTCTTCCATCCATTCTATTAAATGCAGATAATAATAACCATTTTCATTTAAAAACAACTATAGTAATACCATATGAGAAGTTTACAATTCCCAGTCTTAAAGCGTTGATCACAAATAATACCAATTTTATAAATATCATGAATATACAAGTAATAAGCACACCATTTTCCCTTATCAAATACAATAGGGAGCCAACTCTCGATCAGACACACTTTCACGAAAACATGTAGCAATTATAATATACTCGGAAAAATCTGTTCATCATAAGTCTATAAACATGCGAGAAAGTTAGAGTTACATTATTATAACTTAATCTAATCAAATCAAAACTGTTGGACAATGTGTTATCATGAATATGTATTTTTGCAATGTCCTTTGTCCATTGTCTTTTAGGTTTTGATAATGACAAAAGGGTGACAAAACATCATCATCATTTTGTGCATCAAGGCTAAGAATCAAAGCTACAACAAGTTCATATCCGTCCGTGAAGAAGGGACTTGAGCATCGGTGGAAGGAACGAGACCGAAGAGGTTGTTTCCTTAGTTGGGTAGTGTTTTAGGTGTAACGCCCCAAAACATACCCTAGAATTATTAATGAATAAATATTCAATTAATCAAATTTATTTTGATTAAAATAAATTATTGTTGGGCTTTGGGCCAATATGAAATGTGTTTTGACATCCAATATCAAAATCTGGATAAGTCTCATAGAGATAAATCCAGTATGTGGACTATTTGTGTGGTCTTGATTGGGAACTGAGTACAGACTCAAATCAAGAGTAAATAAAGAATTTGTTTAGAATGTAAATACTGAAATGATTTCTTAAAATAAATCATGAGAATAACTGATATGAATTAAATGAGAGAACCTTTTATGATAAAAGTCAATTAAACTAATTTTGACTCTGTAAAAGTCAAACACCCAAAAATATGAGGTCGGAAAAAGTGTTACAAATAAATATAAAAATTATATCGTTTGATAGAGTTTAACTGTCCGATCGCAACGGTGCAAACGGAATTCAATTCGGAGAAAGTTGGACCAAAAAGTGTACCCCGACTAGAACCAAAATTGGTCCCGATCAGGGACTTGCGTTTGGAATCGCAGGAATCGGCCGTTCGCTCCACTCAGCCGCCTAAACAGGGAAACTTTCATCAGCAGCATGGCCTCTTCCTCCTTTTCTTCCCTATATAAGACCACCTTCACCCTTTCAATTCTCCACCATCTCATACAATCCTTAAATCTATTCTGTTGCTGGAGTGAGGAGAACACAGTTGTGTTGTCGTATTGGTGTGAGGTCGCCGGAGTTGAGAGTTATCGTCGCTGGAAGTTTCGTCGGAAAATTCTCAAAACCTCCATTAAGCTCCGAGGTAAGCCTGTAGATATATCTTATGACTAGAATGTTCATATAGGTTGTTTTTACGTTCATAAATGGTCATTTGGTTGAGTTTTGTGTTTGAAATGTTTGAAGAACCAAGAATCATAAACCTTGAATTTGATGTTAAAAATATGTTTTAATGATTCTAAAATGATCTATGAACCTGGGAGGACATTTCTATATAATTTAATTAAAGTTTGGTGATTAAAAATGATAATACTCGAAACTGACCAGAGGAAGAAGAGGATGAACACTAGCCGAAAATCGATTATTTACTTCTAAAAAATCGATTAGAATTGTGTCCAGAAGAGGATGTTCGAAGTCAGTATATAATCGATTATTTAAAATATAAAAATCGATTTAAAAAGTATTAATCGATTATTTTGAAACTAAAAATCAATTTTTAGCCATTAATTGATTATTTAAAATTTAAAAATCGATTTTTAGCCATTAATTGATTATTTAAAATTTAAAAATCGATTTTTAGCATTTAATTGATTATTTAAAATTTAAAAATCGATTTTTAGCATTTAATTGATTATTTAAAATTTAAAAATCGATTTTTAGCATTTAATTGATTATTTAAAATATAAAAATCGATTTTTAGCATTTAATTGATTATTTAAAATATAAAAATCGATTTTTAGCAATTAATTGATTATTTAAAATATAAAAATATATTTTTAGAATTTAATTGATTATTTAAAATATAAAAATCGATTTTTATGTATTAATTGATTATTTTAAAAAAATAAAAATCAATTTTCCTCAAGTACAGATCCTGTTCTGAAAATATTATTGAAAATATGCTCTAAAATCCTCTTTTGTTACCAATTAATTATAAATCATATAAATATGATTTTGTACAATAAAAATGATGTTTGTGACATATAAACATTATGTGATGCATGACGGTAAGTTCGGGTATTAACATTCGAGACTAGGCCGCTATTTGTTATTATGCATTATGACGATTGTTTGATTATTGATTATAATGAATTAATGATGATGAATGTTTTGAATGATGATCATGAATTGTTAAAGTGAAAATAATGAATTAATGAATCGTATTGTTAAGGATATCTAGAACAACTCTAAGATATACCCACTTGTATATTGATGATGATTATTAAGGATATCTAGAAGAACTCTAAGATATATACCTACTTGACCAATTCACATTTCGGGTTAAAACGTACATATGGGATCCAGACCGGATATCACCCACCCGACAAATCATTGTTCGGTTGGTACGTAATCCACATGACTCATAGGGTGGATTATCGATTCTTGTGTTCTGCATTAAACTATTTATAGTTTAAGGGCCTGGTTAGATTTACTGCCTTAGACTAGGAATAGCTAAGAGCTGAATATAAAATGATGTGGCCTTAGATTAAGAATAATTTAAGAGCATTATTGATATATATTGAATATCAAATGACTTGGAATAAAATATTGAAAATATTTTGAATGTTTGAACCATATATTGTGTGCATGATATCAAATGGTTGATTATGAATTGAGATTCAATTTATGTGGATGTTCGACGTTTTAGATATGCTTACTCAGCTTCACCGCTGANGCAGGTAAACAGAAAGATTAATGTGATCCTGGCGGCAGATGGGGCGAGATTGTCAGGATGGATGTGACAAGTTTTGAAATAATTTATGATATGTCAATATTAAATTCGCTTCCGCAATATTGTTAAATACTCCGTACTGTATATGTTATGAAAAATATTATTGGGATTAATAAAGTGTGTTTGAAAAGTTTTAAATTTTACGATTACCAAGTTAAATACTTTAGTCCGAATGGGGCTGCAGACCTAGACGGATTAGGGTGTTACATTAGGTCTTAGATTATGTGTTAAAGAGTATGACATCTCTAAGGTTCATTTCCTTATCATCCACCTTTAAAACACTTTTTTCAGCAAACTATTCGAATAAATTTAAAACTATTCGAATAAATCCTTGAACTTCTATTCTGACTTAGTTGAATAAATCCAGAACTAGTTGAATAAGTCAGATTGCAGTTTCACCAAACTAGTCGACTAAGTCTTGACTTAGTCGAATAGTTCGACAGTTTCAACTACCAAACGGCTAGTTTTTTGAATGCTTTTCATCCCTATCCACTCCCTAACTTCTATAAACTACCCTATCTCGTGTTTTTGGCCAAGAATATACATTGAAAACACTTCAAAAACATATTTTTTGAATATCCAAAGAGATTCTACTTAATCCCCTCCTTATATCCAAGCAAGGCAATTGTTTTGATGGCTAAATCATTTCTTGCTTGAGTTTTTCCTCATTACTTGAGTCTTTGAGAGATATTGCCATATTCTAAAGGACTTCATTGTATTTGCAACAATCTACTACGTGTTGGGAGAATTACTCGGTTGCAGTTTGTTTTATTACTTTATTGTAAGGGATTTGTATTCTTGGTGTTGGGATTACACCAAGTGGTAGAAATCCTAACGGTTTGTGAAATCAAACGTTAGGTGGAAGAAATCCTAAGTTTTGTGAAATCAAAACTTCGGTGGTAAGATAAGAGGCTTGTGAAATCAAGTTCTCGAGTTGTATTCAGATTGTCAAACTCCGTTAAGTTTGACGGGTTAGTGAAGGCCTAGGCACGATTGCTTCGGGGACTAGATGTAGGCATTTAGGCCGAACCAATATACATCGTGTGTTGTTCCTTCTCTTCTTCTTTGTCTTCTTGTGGTTGGCATAATCCTGTGAATTTTTTGTTTAATCTTCCAAAAGTTTTGATTTTTGAAGAACACCTCTATTCACCCTCCCTCTAGAGGTGCGTAAGTTGTTCAACAAAAACTATTCAACTAGGGTGAAGAGAGGACGTGACCTAAGAATGAGTGATTTGAGAGAAAAAAGTATACGAAGAATAAGTGATGGAGAGTGTAACACCCCGAAAATAGGCCTATCAAAATTAATTAATTGATAATTAATTAATTACTGAGAAGGACCCAAAAATAAGTGAATTATAAAGTTTGTCAATAAATGATGGAAATTATATCATTGTGTGGAGGTTGACTATCTGACAGCAACGGTTCAATCAGATTTTAATTCAGATAAAGTTGGACCAAAAAGTGTACCCCGACTAGGACCAAATTAGTCTCAATCAGGGATAATGTACAATATCTTGGAACGGCGCCGCTCACTCCACTCACAGCCGCTGGAATAGGAGTAAGCTTGTTTTCTTCTTCTTCTCTTCATTACATAAGGAAGCCAATTTCCTCATTCTTTCACCAAATCAATCCATTTGTCCTTCTATTCTGCTGCTCTGAGTAAGGAGAACACTTTGGTGTTGCCAATTCAGTGAGAGGTCACCGGAGTTGAGAGCTTTTGTCACCGGAAGTTTCGTTGTACTTTCGCCGGAATCTTCGTTTAGCTTCAAGGTAAGCCCGTAGATATATCTAATGACTAGAATATTCATATAAGTCGTTTCTACGTTCATAAATGGTTATTTGGTTGAGTTTTTGTGTTTGACATGTTTGAAGAACCAAGAATCATGAACTATGGATTTGATGTTAAAATTATGAATTAATGATGCTAAAATGATCTATGAACCTACATATGAACAAAATAAATATTTCACTATGGACCTACATATGAACAAAATAAATATTTCTTTACTATTTAAATAAATATCTGTTTTTTAAATAAAAAAAGTAAAAAAAAATATATTTTTATGTAGAAAGGTCTACAAAAATAATATGCACCCGGAGTGCATCAAAGAATCGCTCTTTGAAAATAAAGGATGTTTTTTATGCTTTTTTTGTAAGCTTTAGTGGGACCCATGCTATTAGCCCTTCCTAACCGCAAATTACAATCAAGAAATTATTTATGGTATTGATTTTATTTAAATGAGAATGAACACTAAGTTATTTGAGAATGAGCACTATTTGTTTCAGAATAACACTACATTATTTGTAGATGAATATTATAATTATATTGAACCAATGTGTGAAAATGAGTACTGCATTATTTTAGAATGAGTACCACGCTAATTATATTTGTGCGAAAATGAGTATTACTCTATTTCAGAATCAGTACTACCCGGATGTACCGTACATCCGGTTACCATATACTTTCTCCTTCCTAACAGGCTAACACAAGTTACTTCCGTGATTAACGGCCGTCAGTTTACACGGACGCGGCCGGACTGTTTCCGTTGCTTCCCACTTCCGTCACGTTTCTCATATCCTCATTTTCATTTTTTTCTTTGCGCACAAATTTTCCTAACCTTCTTTCCCTTCTCAATTTTCCGCCATAGCAAACCATCAGTATAGAGAGGAAGCACAAGCTGAAAATGGCTATTCGATGGAATCTGTTTGTGTGACCCTTGAGCTAAAACCGATTTTTCTTAAACCCTAAGTATAATTTCATAAGAAAAATTCGTTTTAATCTCCATACAAGTGCATCTTGTTCTTAATTTGAACTCGAGGGTTTTGAATTTTAATTTTTGTTGCTCAGGTGCGTGCTTAGCCATGGAGGTGGATTTGGTAACAGATGAAATGCCGGAAGATGAAAGATATGACATTGATGAAAATTTTGATGTGAGTTTTGATCTTCTATTTACATTAGAATACGTAGTAAGCTGAAAGGTGCTCTCCACATTTTCCCTTTAAATTAATAGAAGGCGCTCAATTGTTTATTTTACGAGTGAAATCACTCCTTGATTTTGTTTTAGTCTTTAGTTATATACTAGCTGGCAATATAGTTATGGGTACTCTAAGAACATTTCCAGACCTTACTCTCGTGGGATCCAACTGGGTTGTTGTTGTTGATGTTGTTGTTGTTGTACTCTAAGAACATTTGAACAAGTACTCTTCGTATGTTCGAGGAACAAGGTGATCCTACGCAAGAAACTGATGTTAAAAAGAAGAGCTGTCAAATTGTAGTCCTGAAAGTCAAAGGGGAAGGAAGAATATTGCATGATTAACTGGAAGTTGAGACTTTTATGAATTCACACAGAGGCCGAGTGTTTGTACCCATGGTCACTAGTATACTACTACATATTTTTTAAATGTGCATTTTTGTTTGGGAGGGAGGGGGGGGGGTCATCCAAGGCACACTCCTCTTCCATCAAAACTGAATCAAGTGTAGGGTTTAGTTTTTTATGAGCAGGTTTATAGATGTTATGATATCTGCTTCACCAAGTTTATGTTCTAGCACATTTTCTTTCTTGTTGCAGGAATTTTCCACTTTCGAGAGTGAAAGATGTGGCATATGTATGAATACAGTCATTGACAGAGGAGTTCTTGATTGTTGCCAACATTGGTATTAAACTAAGTATTTCATTCTAAATATATTGTTTAGTTCAAAAGTGTCAATGCTAGTTTCATACTCTTCAACCCTTCCTCTTTTGGTAAAAGAGAGAAAGATGATTCAATGATGGCATGAATTATTTAGCTTTGTGCTTTCAGCCCCTAAATATGATATAACTGTGTTGAATTTTCACAATTCTATGATTACAGAATGATGCCAAAGGATTTTTTCTGTTATAATTTCAGGTTCTGTTTTACATGCATTGATAACTGGGCTACCATCACAAACCTATGTCCACTCTGTCAGATTGAATTTCAATTGATCACTTGTGTGCCGGTGAGTAAGAGAAATCATCCTACCTTTCTTTATTTTTTCTTGAAGTAACAATAGCTGCATATCCATTTTAGCTCCTCGATTTATGCATAGTCTTCAGTGATGATTTTATGCTTGGACAACTTGTTTATTGGATCTTTACAAATAATGCTTATGCATCCGTATTTGTATGTTACAAAGGTTTTTGATACCATTGGAGGGAACACGATTGATGATGATTCATATTCCAGGTATTATTTTTAAATTATCATATTATATTATGTATTTGATTGAAAACATTACATTCCATCTTTTAATTATCTCGCATTCTTTGGAGTAAAGATAACTGGTAGATGGATACGGAGTATAAAGCAAGATAATAAGATATAGGTAATAGATACATGGAAGTGAGTAGCCTGTTATGGCTATGGATTTCCGTTGCATTGCTGTGTTGCTGCAATTTGTGCTTTAAGCAGGTGTTATGTAGTCTTATATTTGTTAGCAGTATGGTCAAATTGATATTGCTTTCAGCAACCTGCCATGACATGAAACTGATTTACTGATCTTTACAGAGATGACGACTGGTCCATCGAAGGAAATAATAATACTCTCTCGTTTCCGTCTTACTATATTGATGAGAATGTGAGTTAAAATTTGTATGATTCTTGTGAATTACTCCGCATATGAGAAAGTAATTTAAAATAGGCAAAATTGACACCAATAAACCCTACTTTGAGGTGCTTTATAAAAATAATTCCCATTTGGAAAAATTCACACAAAAAATATTCCCAACTTGTTTCACAAAATTCATCCCTTAGTTTTTGGTGTTAAGGTTCCATATTGACAATATTGTTTTTCTGAGACTGTTAACATGTTGAGATTATTTTTGAGAAATCCACCAATCTTTGGATTATGTCCAAATTAATTTTTTCTTTTAAATGTGGAAATGCTTAACAAAGAATTGCTATAACCTTGTATATTTTTTATAACAAGTTAAGAATCCTCTCCCTAATTTAAGAGTTATTTTGGATTACAGAGTTTGAATGATGTTACAATAACTCTTTTGCATTAAGTTTTTAATTTAGTGTTAGTAATTTAAATTAATATATTAAAAGCTACACTAAGATCTCTATTAAATTGTAGAAACCAAATTTGAATATGATAAAAATTTGAAACAGAAAGTAAGTGAGAAAAGAGAGTTGGGTTGACCACATGGATAATTGGATGGTTACCACGACATATAAAATGGGTGAGAAGGTGTTTATGCACAAAATTAAATTCATTCTTTTCAATATTTAAGGAAAATATCTAAAATAAGTACATGTGGTTATTTATGCATAGTTCGAGTTTAGACAATTATATTTTTGGTGATTCCAGTTTGGGTACCAATGTACCCGAATAATATCTCAATAATAACTCCTCAAATGTCAAAGATATTTAGAAAATTGCTTTTCAATAGTTTTTTTGTTCTTTTGTATGATTTTCAAGGAATTTGTCATAATTGTTTTTTCATTTTCAAGGTTTTCAGTAGCGAGAGAGACAAGAATTGTTGGATGCTTCTACTTATTTGGATGTATCTGATTGCTTTTAAAATTTAGGTGAATCCTTGATTAGTTATTAATGACGAAAATATACGATATTAAATTGAATTCATATTCTCCGTATGGAATAAGCCTGGGCTCAAAGTTAGTGTGTTATTAAAACTTGCATGTCCTTTTTTGCTTCCTGTGAACATGAATACTTAAAATAAATAAACTATAAGAAAAGGGGACCCTAACACCGTCATATAGGGGATCAATTTTTGTGAAACTGTTACCAAGCTTAGATTATTTTTTAATTCCTTGGTGGGGAATTTTTAAATGTTTTGAAGTAAGGGTTATTGATGTCAATTTCGCCTTTAAAATATCTATGGTGCTTGCAAATTCTATGCACTTATAGGAAAAAATCAAATAAAGCAAAAACTTACTCATTTTCTTGTCTGGTATTTGGTGTAGGTTTTCACATAATTATTGGAAATTTCAATCCCAACAATTCAGAAACCAATATTTTGTGATCTTGTGATTAGATGCACTTTGTCATGTGTAGGCAGTTGTCTGCTTAGATGGAGATGGCTGCAAAGTCCGGAGTGGATCAGCAGGAATTGAGGATGATTCAAATCTTGACACTTCAATTGCTTGTGACTCATGTGATATATGGTAAATTTGGTCTCGACTTGTACTGAAGCTCAGTTTGAAAGATCAACTGCTGATCCTATGTTTTTGTTCTTTTCTTCATATTTGTTTTCTTATTTTCCTTTCTTTGAGAATATTATTTTCCTATTAATTCCGGCATGTGTCAATCAGGTACCATGCTATTTGTGTTGGATTTGATCCTGAAGGAACTTGTGAGAACTCATGGTTATGCCCAAGGTATTGTAAGTGGATATACTTTTTCCCAAATTTCATATTTTATCATTTTAATATTCCGTCAGTCGATTTGATGTTCTGAGTTTGACTTGGCATGGAATTAAAGAAAAAGTAAATTATGTGGTTCAGATTTATTAAGGGACTAGAAGAATATGAACCACAAATTCTCGTCCTCAAAGGGAATATTAAGTTTATTTTGGGATGAACCAAAACGGAAAAAAGGAAAATAAGAAAATTTAAAGGAACATGAGTATATGGATTTACTGCAGTCCCATGGGGGCATGTATATTAGGTTAATTTTTGTGCGTTGTGACTGTTGGCATGCATTTTCAGCGTTGTAGTATGTACCTTTAAAGCATGTGGAGTTCAAGTAGAATTTTTTCGTTATGCATACCTTTTGCCTCACGCTGCAGATGTGTTTCTGATAATGTCCCTGGCAAGCTGGATGTATCCAAGTCCCACAACCAATGCAATCTAGAGACTGCAAGTAGTAACCCCTCAACTGAGGATGTTTTATCTGGAAAAGTGTGTGTTTCTGTTGCCGATGATGGTGAGACTGCCATTGTTGTCTCAATGATTGATGGATATCACGAGGCTGAAGCATTGGATGGACAAATCTTGACCTCACATTTTAGCAAAGACGTGGAAACTGACACAATAGCATCTACTTCTGTTGTTGATACTTCCAATTCAGTATTGAATGACACACACTGTACTGTGCCAAACATGATGGTAGAGGACCAAGAACATACCTCTTCACCACAGAAGCATTCAGATTTAAGTTCATATTCTGTTGCATTGGCTAATGCTAAGATAAACAGTAAAGATCAAGTACCATGTGGAATTCCACTCATAAATAGATCCGCTCAGCGTATTAACAACAGAGTGATAGATCCTGGTTCAGATCTTGATCTTGGTTTAACAGTGGAGTCTTATGCAGAAGGTAGTTTCATATCTTTTGATGTTTTCTTCTGACACACACACACACACACATATTATTCATGCAAATTGCAGATCTGTTCATAGATGGGTTGAAGTGTTGAACTTGATCCCTACCACACAACATCCTTCTACTTTCCTCTCATCACTTATAAAATTTAAAATCCTCCAAACAAACAAGCCTATAGAGTTTTTAAAGAGACTGCTGTTTTTATTTTAAATCCTTATTAGATTAAATTTGCAATGTTTCCATTAAAAATGCTCACTTTTGCTCATGTCACTTCTAAAGGGTTTCCTGTAAATGAGTCAGATGACAAGGTGACATTGGAAAAGAAGGAAGTTCTCGTAGCAATTACCGGTTCTAAGAGAAAACACAAAGAAATCAGGTCATTTTTAAAATCCTCATGCATTGATCGCCTTCCCTTTTTTATAATGCTTCTATTGATTTTTGTTTCCATGAGTATTCTGCCTGATATACACTCAACTAATCCTGGATTTAAATCTAGCTGGGGTAAGTAGTCTACGTGAAGTACTAAAATTGATGTTGAGTTTGTAAATATTTGGCATTCCATTCCTGTTTGTAGTAACAGTTAAAATTTATGTCTCTTTTTGGCTTGAAGATATCATTTTTGTGCTATATAAGACTTTTTTTTGTTGATGTGAATTTTGAAATCTATTCCTGTTATACATACAATTTGGCCAGCTACAAAAGTTGTTGCTGTTTCTTTTAGTAGTTTGCTCTCTTCTACAGTTTATATCATTTTTATTGTGACTGTGTTTGTAGAGATACTGAAAGGGGAAGAAGTAAAGGTAAGAGTGAGAATCCATCTCACTTGAAGAAAGTGAAAGTTGAGGCCCCTGAACAAGTTGGTCGTAAGGACCAAACAGTTATAGGTGCCTTAAATTCTGTGTCCAGATCAAGTGTAACTAATCCTAAAGTTAGCAAGCCAAAATGCATATCAAAAAAGGAAAGTGCAGAAATTGATATTATGGATATAGTTCAGGATACAAATTGGAAGTCTGTGAAGAAAGGTACACGAGGCCATCCTGATGGTATGCCCTGTAAACAGAGGGGGAATGCAGCTGGTTTGCGGGTCAAAAAAATAATGAGACGAGTTGATGGTGGAGATTCATCTGTATTAGTACAAAAGTTAAGAAAGGATATCAGAGACGCAGTCCATGGTAAATCCACTGAGGAGTTTGATAGAAACGTTTTTGATAAAAAACTTCTAGCTGCTTTTAGAGTTGTAGCTGCACCAACAACTGAAACTATGAAGTCACATCTGGATATGAAGGCAAAGCAGTCATTCTTGCAGAAGGGAAAAATTCGTGAAAACCTAACCAAAAAGATTTATGGGATTGGGGGGAGGAGACAACGAGCATGGGCTCGAGAATGTGAGATTGAATTCTGGAAACACCGCTGCCCAAAATCATCAAGGCCCGAAAAAATTCAAACCTTAAAGTCAGTTCTTCACCGCTTAAAAGATGATTCTGAGAATGCAGAGGTAAAGCATGCAAATGGAGAGACAACAAGCTCCATCCTATCAAGGCTATATTTGGCAGATACTTCTGTTCTTCCTAGAAATGATAGCATTAAGCCTGCTTCTGCCCTTAATGATATGGATAACTGTGAGCAGAGGACAATAAATGGCCCGCCTGCAAATGCTCTCTCACCATCTCTCCCAAGTCGTGTCAACACAGTTCTCCAAACCAATGAACCTAAAATACTTTCTAATCTTAATAAGAAATATGATTCTTCATCCCAAGCACATTTGAACAAATGCCAAGAAGGGTCATCCAACTCCACATCAATCAGCTCCAATGTACCTTCCAAAGGGGAATCTGTCACTCCTGAAAATACAAAGTCTGATAAAAGGAAATGGGCTTTAGAGCTTCTTGCAAGGAAAACTTCAGGTGCTGGTAAGAATACAACCAGGGGGAATGCAGGGGATAATGCTGCACTCAAACCAAATTACCCCTTACTAGTATGTTGTCAGATTCCTTTTCAACATAGTTTCTTCTGCCTACTGTTATTCAGAGTCTTTACTGTTGTTTTCCTGCAATTGTCAATAGGCTCAACTTCCAAAAGATATGCTGCCTGTTTTGGCGCCCAGCCGTCACAATAAGGTTCCCATGTCAATCAGGCAGGTAAAAACCATATTCATTTCCTTGTTTCTACACTGAGTAAATGGCCCTAGATAAGGGAGTTTGGAGGATGACGATTAAAGTTGTTGGGTAATGTGACTTGGGACGCGGGCTATAGGAGTGACTTGTGAGTTAGGCATAGATAGTTTGCAGGGGTTTGTATATTTGTTTAGTTTATATACATTATTGACCCCTTTATGCATTCCAGAGTTGTTTTACTATTACCATCATACAAAGTACTACACATTTTTTTCTTTCTAGTATTTATGGTTTATTTATTGAACCAAGGGTCTTTCTGAAACAGCTTCTTTACATTTATAGGTATGGTATGGTCTGCATACACCCACTCTCCCATGCCCCACTAATGAGACCTTACTTTGTATCATATGCATATTAGCATTGTACAATCTACTAATCTACTTCTAAATCCTACTTGCAGTACTGCCAAAATAATAGAAAATAAATCCATATGAACATGCAGTTACTTGAAATAATTGTTGTTACATTTAGTTTCTCATTTAGGATAATGATTTTGGCATGTTTTCTGGAGCTCCAAATTTTTGCAAGCATTTGTTACTTTCTGTCAGCTCCTTCTGAGTGTTGCAGTTGTGTCATTTAATTGATTTAGGGCATAAACTCAGTTCACTTCACCTTCATTGTTATTAGGGATTTGGATATGGAATACTTTATTGATGTTCTAGTAGGGAATCAGGGATAGCTCACGGGGTGAATTTTGGGGGATATGAATATGACACTACAATAGTTAAACGGGATATGGTGGTTGAAACAGAAATTGTGGGGATCGAGTGGTATACAATAATGTCTGGGCGGTGGATTGGGTGACAAAATCACAACAGTATGAGGTCTCATGATTTTACTTGTTTTTTGTTGGACTTGTGTTATTAAAAAAATAAACCTTTCAGTTACTGAAGCTTGACGTGATTGATCTGAGTATCTCATTGGTGATCTTTAAATGTTTGGAACAGGCTCAACTTTACCGCCTTGCAGAACATTTCTTAAGAAAAACAAATCTTGCAGCTATTCATAGGACTGCAGTAACAGAGTTAGCTGTTGCTGATGCCATAAACATTGAGAAGGAGGTTGCTGACAAGTCAAATAGCAAATTAGTATATATTAATCTCTGTTCTCAGGAGCTACTTCGTAGATCAGATAATACCACATCTGACAAAGTGACAGGGTTGAATCCTGGGCAATGTACTGAAATGCCATCTAATAATATATCAGAATCGTCAATTGAGAATCAATATGCTGACCCTGAAGTCAATGAGGCTCTAGAAAATGCCGGGCTTTTGTCTGACTCTCCACCAGGTACTCCACAGAGGCCTATCGAGCAAATCAAAGTCCTGAATTGCTTCTCAAATGAGGTTGATGATGATGGACCATCTGATGTTTTTGAGGCTGAAGCTCCTCCTCCGGATCTTGATATTTACGGGGATTTTGATTACAATTTGGAAGATAATTTTGCGGTTGGTGTTAACAGTTCTGGGATCATTCCTGAGCCACAGCTCGGAGAAGAAGCTAACAAATTGAAAGTCATATTCTCTACACTTAACCCTGCTGATACATGTACTGTAACTCTTGAAAAACCGAATATTGAAATAGATGAAACTGTTGAAGGTCCCAAGGATTCTTCTTGCTTGGCTGACAAAGTTGTTTTGAGCACTTGTTCATCAGTTAATACTGACGATAGAGACAACTGTGTCCCTCATAGTTCCGTTGTCGATGGTGGTGAGGAGCTTTCTATTATGGATTGTGAGGAATTGTATGGACCTGATAAAGAACCACTCATCAAAAAATACCCTGAGATGGCATCAATGAAGCCACCTGAGCTGGTAATTGATAATCAAGTCTCACAAAGGAACAGGGACTGTGAATCAAGCGTAGCACCCAATTCATCTAATAAGCAAGAAAGTAAGAGTGGCGTGAATAATTTGGAATCTGCTGCTTCTTCAGAGGGTCCTGCAATCACAGAAAAGAATTCACCTAAAAAAAATCGCAAAGGGAGTGAAAATGCAAAAAGAGGGGACCCTTTAGCTAAATCCAATACCAGAAAGGAATCAGATAAGACCAATCCCGTCTCAAGAAAGGTACTACTAAATGAGTATCATCTGTTTTCCTACTTCACATTCCTTACCCTTCAACGGTCCCACCTCAAAAATAAAAAATGTCATGAATTATTATTAATTACTACTCCCTACGTTCCTGAAAACACTTCCGTCCTAATTTTTTGCGCACCTCATAAAATACTTTTACTTCCATCTAAAATGTCTAAAATACATCCCATTATGTAGTTTATTGCGGGTATAAGTTGTTTTGGAGGTATTTTAGACATTTTAGGTAGATTAAAAGTATTTTATAGGGTGCGCAAAAATTTAGGGCGGATGTGTTTTTCCAAATGGAGAGAGTATCTTTTACTCCCATAGTTGGCGGAAGAAAACTGGGAGAGTAATTTGGTTGGTACTGCCCCATGATCTTTACTCCCCTTGCATGCTCCCTACTCTTAAAGGATAAACAAACACATAAAGAAAATGGAAAAAGTAAACTTTTATGACCCTCTTGATAGGGAAAAGAATGCTTTTTCAGAGGAAAAAATTGCAGAAACTGCATAGCCTCTAGATTACTACACCTTTTTTTGCTGACAACCTTGGTTGATGTGTGCATGGCATATTGTTAATTAATTGAGCATTTTCCTATAGGTTGAAGCTTATATCAAAGAGCATATCAGACCACTATGCAAGAGCGGCGTGATTTCAGTCGAACAGTACAGGTGGGCTGTGGGCAAAACTACTGACAAAGTTATGAAGTTTCATTCAAAAGATAAAAATGCTAATTTTCTCATCAAAGAAGGTGAGAAAGTTAAGAAACTTGCAGAGCAGTATGTTGAGGCTGCACACAATATGCCAAAGAAGGAATAGGAAAGAAAATAATATTCAGTCGATGTATAGCTTTTTCTTTTGTGTTTCATTTTGCTTTTTGTTTCCTCCCAAAAGAATTGTAAACACAAGAGTGTGGACGGTTTGTTGACAGAATTGCTTTGACAGAGCTATGTATAAAGTGAGCAATGCACCCACATTTTGATGGTTCTCAAAAATCTGCAGTCAAAGGTAAGACATGCATTCAAAATTTGGCAGACATTCTAGTCCTTATGTATATGCTTCTTTGGGCCTTTTGTATGTATTTAGGGAAGCAACCCAAAGAATCTTGAGCTTGGCAATGAAGACTCAAACCCAGGGACGATCAAGCCTTAAAGATTGATAATGCACTTGACATTATTGAGTTATTCTTCAAAGTAGTATGCCTTCATGGCATGCCAAAATATATATTGTATTTGATCTACGTATCAAAATTTTATCAAAGTTTTTGAGCTTTTCCTAGAAACACTTTGGGACCAGCTTGGCACTCGACTACTACGAGTGTTTTCTTCCACGGGTCATCCTCACACAGATGGGTTGAGATACCACATTGATTCAAATAGCCTCAAGGGAAACTTGCATACAATGTGCTGAATTTGTTAATACTCATTGTACATTGAGGGAGGCTCCCTCCAAGTGTTGATCCAAAAAGCTACAAGTCAATGGAAACTTGCATACAACTTGGTTATTTTGTGGACAGATGTGTTCTTCTAGTGATCATGTTTGAATCTGTTATTGGCTTTAAGGTTTTCGGCTACTTCAAATTTGACGTTTTTGCAGGGAAATGATGTTTGGAATGTGGAAAGGGAGGCAAATGCACTAAAGACAGTTTATACATTACACATAAGATACTATGTTGAAGATCATATGTTGATATACTACCTAGGGTCGAGAGGGTACTCAAAGATCTGTCAAGTGTTCATAAGTAGTAGCACAACTACATTTTTATTACTCCCTCCGTCCCGTTTTAAATCGCATGTTTTGACATGAATGAGAAGATAAGATGGAGAAGAGTAACTTATTTTAGGGGTAGTTTAGGTATTTTACTCTTAAAAGTTTACGATAACAAGTAACAGACAATTTATCTTAGGATGCCTGCTTAATTGAAATCAACCTCACAAGGGGTTTTAGTATGCTTTTGAACATGAAAATCTTGACCACAACGCTACGGAATATCCAAGGAAAGGCTGTATGACATGATTCAAATGGTATTTGTACTCGAGTAATCAAGGGAACATATGGGTGTGGTTGGGGTGCAAGCCACAGATCAACTTGCACGCCCTAACAAGCCGTTTGGATGGAGAGAAAACATATCCTTTTTTTTCTTTCTAAAATGAAAGTTTTAAAAATTGATGTATAATTCTTGACTTTGTCTTTTTTTTTTGAAAACTTTTTTAGAGAGTTTTTTGCACCGTTTATGCCTGAATTTTCTAAAAAATGCACGAATGCCTCATGAACTTTTAAAAATGTTGTATTGATTGTCTTTCTGCGTCAGATTTGGGAGTGCGTTAATCACATGATCATCAATATATATGTTGGAGTTGGATGAAGATGTCATGGTTTGATGAAGCTGTTGATCGATTGATGATGAACTTTATCAACTGATGCTCGGCCTTCGAATTTGGTTACCGGTGACTAAATTGAGAATAATTGTCTAAGGTTTAAAGAGGTTGAAATTATAAAAGATCAGATAGTATTTGGTAATGACATATTGCAAAATTCATGTGTGATATATATTACTTTAGATGAATGCATACTTACACTAGATGTGTGTGTGATTAACACACTCTAAAATTTGGCGTAGAGGAACCATTGGTGCAACCTTTTTAAAAATTGAAGGGGCATAGGTGTAATTTTCAAAGTTTAGGGGGAATGCACGCAGTTTTTGAAAAGTTTAGGGCTAAATGGCACAAAAACTCCCTTTTTGAAATGTTAGTCTTGTTTCACCATAATTTGTGTAATTCCAAGTTATACACGCCATTACTCTATAGCTTCCAAAACCCTAATGAGGCATTGGTTGTCGATGAATGGTTAGTAGTTATGGTTGTCCGTTACATTACTTGTTCACTTAAATTTTGCCCGATTTAGATTGGAAATTAACGAACTATTAAACAAATAATATCAAAGTTTAGACTATTACAAATTAATGTTAGATGTACAAAGACTCGCTCCAAATAATCAGGCATGCATAGAGTCAGACGCTCGAGCCAACAAATGAGCAACCTCATTTGCTGATTTTCCACTCCGCATCATTTGCTGTCCACCCTGTATCACCATTCCCACTTTTGCCGCGTCCGTATTTAAATTGAAGCTCGCATCCGCATTGCACTTTAGCATGCCTAATGAAGTTCCGAGGCTTCAATTTGACACTCTTTCTCATGTATTTGACATATTTAAGATAAAAATATGAAGATTCTATTTTGGTATTTTCTATATATTTTACTCTTATTTTGATTTTTCTTTCATCTCTATTTTAGCTAAACTTTCCAACACTATATACTTCCTTCATTATATTTTATCTTGTTATTTTGACTTTTTTGAGATATTAAAATGAATGGGTGCAGTCATGCAGATAGAATGCTATGTTTTTCGTATATGTTAATATTCGTTCCACTTTTGTGATATAATGCATCACAAAAATTCTAGCGTAATTGCTCTTTCCGACCCAAAATGTTAAGAAGAGAAAAAAATGTTTTATATATAGATCGTACATTCTTTTCCAAAAAAAGAAAGAAATAAATGGAAACAATATTTTAAGAAGGATGAAAATGAAAAGAAATTATTTGCCGCCTAGAAAAAAATAAAAATATTTTATTCGGTCTTATAATCAAATCGGACCAGATTGGATACGACGTTAATTATAATCAAATGAGATTAAACCAATTCAGATCAAGCATAGAGAATATGCCCTAAAATCTCCTAAATATTTCCAAGATTTTGCCGCCTTGTCCACTACCCTCCCTCAGCTGATCACACAGAACCGGATTCCATAGTAGAGACCATCACCGAATCTTCAACTTGCACGAACAAATTTATGCTTTTCTTTATTTTACATAATTAAAGAAAAAAATATTGAAAGAAGAAATGCCTAATCTACCACTATAAGAAATGCACTGATATTTTCACTATTCACACTGGCACAAAATACTAGTGTAATAAAAAAAATGTGCACTGACATTTTGTGTCATTGTAAACTATCACACTAGCATTACACTAACATAAAATGCTAGTTTATGCCTTTAGGGTACAAATTGGGGTATAACTTTTGGAGTACAAATAGCTCAATTCATAATTAAAACTCAATTTACCCCTCTTTAAATCTCTTTTTAAATCTAAAGGGCCTAAAGTATGTGGTTCCCTTTTTTTCTGAATTGAATTAATCTTGGGTCTGCTAACTCGACCCTCTAAGTGTAGGGACACTGAACAATATAAATGTCTGTCTTAAATATTTGTGACAAGATGGGATCAGATTCGGGGTGGGTCAATGAACAATAATATACCATGCTAGTGTGCCACCTGCTACCATGTGTGCACCCATGCTTTGCACAGACAATAATTGTCTGTGCGACACAGACAATTATCGTCTGTGTTTGTCTGTGCGAAGCATGGGTGCACCCATGGTAGCACCCATGTGGTGGCACCCTAGCATTTTCCTAATATCAATGACAACACTTTAATTAATTAGTAATTAATTAATTAGTACCAACATGCATAAGCTAAGGTTGTCTGTCAGCTGGAGTTAGGGCGCTATGAGCGCGCATCAGCCTCACTAAATAGTTTCTTCACATCTGATCAGACTTTTTAATTTGTCTTCATCTCTGCAACACAACCTAATCAACTCTGGTTAGACCTTTTGCCCTCAACCTCTCGAGGACGTTGTTTAATTGGTCAATATAATTAATGATGAGATGCAAAAAGGCGTAATGACATTACTGACAACTGTAATGAAGGACGATCGTGCTTTGCATTAGATTCTTGCTTGTATTGTACATACATCTGCTTTTTGTTGATCAGTCTAAGTAAGTACAAATGACATTGCACGAAATACATGTTTCATGTTTGACTCTCATTAGACTAAAAAAACATTGTTTTTTATATTCCCTCTGTCTGGAAATGTCTCCTCGTATTGATTTCGCACGCTTGTTTAGGAGTAACAAAAAAAATGTCTTCTGAGAATTCCCCTACTTTAATGTTGGGGTGAATAAATTTGGGTGGATGAGTGTTAAAGTGGAAGAGTGTTATTGCCATTTACCTTTAAAAAGTAATCTTAAAAAAAAAGAGAAAAAATTTCTGAACGGACCGAATTGAAAAAGGAAGTGGGAAGAACATTTTGGGACGATGGGATAATATAAAAGCTTGGCAACATGTACTCCCAAGTTCTTATATGAGCCCTCTCTCTCTCTCTCTCTCAAGAGAAGAAACATGATATAGCTTCATAGTGTGAGTTAATTGAAAATGGGATGTTCTTGTATGAAGCTGAAGCGACGAGTTTATGAAGATGCTGCAACTCTATCATCACAAACCCATTGTAAATAGATATATATAAAAGAAAACTCCATTGTTTTTTGGTAGCTAATGAATTAATTGGAAAATGCTTCTTTTTTGAGGGAATTAATGAAAAAAATCAATACATTTTTGCATTTGCAGTTACAGTCAAAGAAGTGAAGGCCCTGCTTGAACTCTTCAACAATTTGAGCAGTTCCCTAAAGGATGATGGCTTTATTAGCAAAGTACAATCAATCCAAGTGCTTCCTTTTTTCTTTTTTTTTTAAATATCTTAGATGATCTTCATTCTTCTTGTGTAATGATATATTATGTCTGGGCATATAACTGAGCCTTTTTTTTCTTTGGGTGCAGGAAGAATTTCAGATTGGACTGTTCAGAAACAGCAAGACACAGTCTTTCTTTGCAGATAGGGTATCAGTATTGTGATGAATTTTAGTTATACTCTCACAGTCTCTTCTTCATCATCTTCTTTATTAATAAAGGGAAAAGAGTGTGAAAATATAGAATGTTTTCCTATATTTTCCACAACCGTCGTGTATTTGGGTTTTGTTTCAGATGTTCAAACTGTTCGATTCCACCAACGACGGCGTTATAGAATTCGGGGAGTTTGTTCGGGCGTTAAGCATTTTCCACCCAGTTGCCTCCCTGGAAGAAAAAGCTGATTGTATGAAAAATACACTAATCAGTTCCAAGAATCATAGAATCATGAATATATTATTAACCCTTTTTCAATTTTTACTTGCTCAATCTCATGTTGCAGTTCTGTTTAGACTCTACGACGTACGTCAAGCTGGCTTTATTGAGCATCAAGGGGTAAATAACCTTTTTATATACCAAATCCCTTTTTAACTCAGTATAATTGAAAACAATGTTTGATACAATGTGATTGATTTAGTCAGGTCAAGAAAATGATTATGGCACTTCTGCAAGAATCAGGATTGACACTCCCTGAGGATATAATACAAGATATGATCAACAAGGTACTTAAAAGTAACCCTCTTTACCATATTTTTGTACTATCCTTTTGTTTTTCAAGTCTTTTTAAATAAAGTTCTTCTTTGCTCATGGAGACTTTTGAGGAAGCAGACAGAAATGATGATGGAAAGATAGATGCAGAAGAGTGGAAGAATTTCGTATGTCGAAATCCACCTTTGTTGAAGAACATGACCATTCCATATTTGATGTAACTCTACTCTCTTCCCTTCTTCAAAACTGTTGTTGAAAATTTGTTCTACTCTACTAAAATGAACAAGTTACTTTCATGCAGGGATCTCACAGCTGCATTCCCTAGCTTTTCGACCAAACTAGATACCGATGACGAAGGAAATGACACTTTCTGAATTCTAAAACCAAGTGAAATTGTTGTATCATACATCTGAAACTTGTACATTTCTTGGTTTTCCCTTCTCCTTTTAACTACATACCTTAGAGATAGAAAGAAAAAAAAGAGTGCAAAATATACACTATGTGACAGTCTTTACCACTGGCTAGTTGAAACCATTTTTAGGCCTAATCATGTCCTTCAAGTTCATGGGGTAGCACATACTGATATGCAAGCTAGACCACACGTTGTCGGCAATGATAGAGTTAACCGCATCCGTTGGATGAAACTGGTCCCACCATATGTAATTAGTTGCATTGCTGCAAGCCATCTCAGGAGCTATGCAGAGAAACCACCCTTTGTGCCTCCCAAAACCACAGCAGGCTTCTGCTGTAACATTGAAGCCGTAACGGTCGTGGTTCTCCATGATGTCCATTGAGGCTTGGAATGCATCACAGAAGATGATCTTCACGTGGGCGAGCTCGCGACCCAGTTCTGCAACCGTTTGTCTCATCACAAAGTTGAATTCAAGAATCATGTCATTTATCATGTCAACACACTTCCCATTTGTTGCAGGGTACATCCAGAGGTAATATGGTGCACAACCCATTGGTGCCAATCCCATCACAACCACTTTCCTTACATTAGCATTGTACAGATTCTGTTCATCAACATATTATTGTGCCAAATTAGAAACCCAAACTTTTTTTTTGTATAAAGTGTAGAAAAACTCCTTCAAAAAACCCCCGGATTGTATTACCTTAATCTCCCGCTTCATGGCTTTTGCCAAGAACCGGTTGAATCTCCATGGAAGGTAGAGAGATTGAACGTTGGAGACATTGCGGAGATAGTAGTGTATGTAGTCATTGGTGCCCATGGAAATGTAGAATACAGATTCTGAGATGAGATCAGCAGCAGCTTCTTCACCCATGCTCAGTGACAACTTCTGAAAGGTATCAGTCACCTGCTGAATCTGCTGTGTGAGTGAAATATGCTGACCCTGTGTAAACCATTTTCACCCAAATTAATGATGGAAAAAAGATCATCTTCTTGAGCAGATTGTGAAATATATGGGGGGAAAAATTGTACCAGTTCAGATCCACTGGAGAAAATGATCCCAGCTCCGGCAGAAGCATAATTCACGCCCCTAATCATGGCTTCCACAGAACCGCTCACGCTAAGATAACTCGGAACAAATGGCAACCCCAGACGCAATGCTGAATCAAAAAGTACATCAGAAATCAAAACCAAAGACCAAATTGTTCATCCAAGAACCAGTCTTTTCTAGTAAATCTTGAATCCCCAAAAGTTAAAAACCCCGAAAACTCAAGAAATCAGAACCCAATTGCAGAAAACGTAAATTAGACATCAAGAAAGACTAAAAACCTTGAACTCGCTGGAAATTATTAACCAGAGAACGATAAATTCAATCAAGAAATTCGTACCCAGATAATCGACAGGGATTCTTCCGTTGCTGAAACGGCCAGTGGGCTGGTGGGTGTCGAAATCTCGCCCGTAAGGAGGCCTATCTGCCCGAGCAAAGGTTCCGAGGAAATTGTTGGTCCCGCAATCGACGGAGGAGTCGCCGATGACGAACAGCGCCGGAACCAAGGGCGGAGAGGAGAAGAGAGAAGGAGCCGGTGCGCCTCCGCCGCCGCCGGTACTGTCCTGATGAGCTGACGACGATTTCGTGTCGTGGAGGAGAGGGATGAGAATCAAGAAAGCTCCGAGCAGTGCAGAGAAGGCCATGTTTCTTCAGTTGGCGGGAAAAATGGAGCTATTTCTAAGTGCCCGTAACAATTACTCCGTAACTCTAGTCTCCGGAGACTGAGGGTGTAAATAATGGGAGAATTTACCGAACACTGAATAAATTTAAAAAAAAATCTTGAAAGAAGGTCATCTCAGTTGATACTTGATACTAGTTTGAGAAAAATGTAAACTAAGTTAGTATAATCTTTGTTTCTATATAGACTAAATTCTCAATAAGCAATAATTATCATTTATCAATATGATCTTTTGTAATCAAGATATATTTCCTAAATACTCTCTCCGTCCGAAAATAAAGTTTACGTTTCTCCTTTTTCTCCGTTCGAAAATAAAGTTTACATTTCTAATTTTAACCCACACTCTTCCAAAAATACCCTTCTCTACCATTTCAATCTTCTCTCTCCCTCTCCTCCCTCCCCCTTCCTCTTCTTCCTTTCCTCTTTTCTTCTTTTTCTTATCTCATCCGCCAGATCTATACATTTTCAATCCTCTCTCTCCCCCTCCCTCCTCCTCTTCTTCTTGCTTTTCTTCTTCTTTTCTTTCTCGTGACCCTTCCTCTCTTCTTTTTCCCACCCACCCCCAATTGAGGACGAGATGGTGCCAAGACGGCTTCCCTGGTGGACGACGATGGGCTGTTCCTGGTGCTCATACAGGGGAAGAGAGTCATGTAGAGCCGGGTTAGGAGGGGCCGGACGGCCGGGCTGGAATCCGGGTTGGCTCAGGTTGAGCCGAAGTGGGCGGCGATTTTGGGTGAGGAACGATTTGAGGAGGGAGAGGAAGCTGTAAGTTCGTGGGGGTGCAGCGGAAATTACCAATTAAGAGCTATGCAAACAGATCAGTCAACTATGCTGTAGAGAAGACACTGCATCACTGTCACAGTAACAGATGACGGACAGTGTGCTATAACACTTCTCTGTCACAAGCACACACAGAAGCAGATGATGCAGAGGGCGTTACAGCGTCTACTGGGCAGAAGGCTGTAACTATAAAATGCGTAAAAATGACACCAGATATGTTTACGCAGTTCGGAGAAACTCTCCTAATCTGCGGGGCCCACGTTCGTGTAATAGCCCTCCGCTAAATCACTAGATGCAAGTTACACCGGTACATAACAACATGATGAGACACACTTCTCTGAATTGTTATGACAAAACTTCTAATCTAGGATTTTTAACTCGAACTCTGTTCAGATCCGCTTCGGCTATCACATCTCCACCGAGATCACGAGGACAAACGTGTTGGCAGCCCACTCCTTAAGATCTGGTACATCTCCTGGTTGTCACGATCTGTTTTTCATTGTAGGACTCATTCTTCATGTAGATCGTATCTTTCTTCACGTAAGGGAAGCTCCGGGATGCAACGGGAATGCTCTACATCAGCGCATATTCTTTGTTTTCCCTCTCAATCGCTCCAAGTATTTCCCAGGGACCTGCTGCGTTTTTATAGACTTCTCTTAACACAATCCTAGTAGGAATAGGATAGTAGAAGTTGGCTTGAACTCTACTTCCTTAATCTTGATTCACAAGTAGCCTAAAGAGTTGGGATTCCTTAGCATGTACAGCTGAAGTTATTACCATGTAATCACAATCCCGATAGGTCTCTAATTCAGATTGCATCTTAAATTCCCGTGCTCAGACCTCTGATCCCGAACAGTGTGTTGCAGCATCGTGCTATAGCATCTTCTGTGTCAACCTCGAAAACTGCAGCAACTCTAGAAGTCTAAATAAAATAAACCTCTCCTAACAAATAGAGGTTTCTACCTAGTAAAACACCTAACAAATATGAGATTCTATTTTGACAAAAGATTAGTCAACACCATGGAACTAACAGAAGCTTCCAGGGTTCTTCGACAGGGAGGTTTATGACATCCTCGACGGTGGTGCCGAAGATCCGTGTAGATTGGCTCTGGCTTTGGGCCCATCCGTGGAGGCCAGTGCCGAAGATTCGGAGGCGGGGGGGCGGGAGAAGCGCGGCGGCCTATGGGATGTTTTCCGATTTTGAGCCGTCGGGTAAGGAGGAGACTGGAAAGGGGTATTTTGGTCATTTAACAGGGTTAGTCAACCTCCCTTAAAAATGACCAAAAGTCAAAACGTAAACTTTAATACCGGACGGAGAGAGTAGTTCTTTGTCAAAAATGTATATGAAATGACAGTTAAATGGAGAGTATTTTGTATTTTCTATCATCTAAACTATTAATAAGTCCTTAGAATAGTTCTTTCAAACTAAGTGGGTGAATGCTTGAAGAACGGACCACCCGAAGTAGGCTCATAGACTTCGATTCGAAAAAAAATTACTTAGAAATTACTTCGTATCATTTAAGTCTAACTAATAGATAATACAAAATACCCTCTATTTGACTATCATTTAATAGAATATTTTGTCGAGGAATATTTAGGGAATACATCTCTATTACACATGACCATATTGGTAATTATTGCTTATTGAAGACTATTTTGAGAAAACATCTTATTAAAAAATCATTTTGGGAATTCACCCTTCTTAATACTAAAAAATATGAAACCTAACATATTTCTCCATGCATGGTCATTCTTTTGAAATATTTTTAAATAGGTAAATTTTATTTTTATTTTTATATCAACTTGTAAAAAAATCATTTTAGTGAAATTCGCACTAAATAGTACTAAAACATTAATAATTTTCCAATGTAGTACTTAAACTTTTTTATTTCTAAATAGTACTTAAATAATGTCTAGTGGCGGCTACAATGTCCAGTAGTGGTGGACATTTAGTTTGATAATGTCCAGTGGCAGTGGACATTACTTGAACAATGACTAGTTAATAATGACTAGTGGTATTACATTCGTAAATAAAAATATATGTTACTACTTTGGGAAAGTCACTATGTTTTACTTTTATTACTATTTAAGTAAATTACCCATCATTTTAAAATAGATGAAGTTTTGGACATAAAAATGAAATAGAAAGAGTTTTAGTGAACAAAGAGAGTTTATTTTTTGGTGGAAATCCCAAGAGGTGTAAAACGTGTTTGTTGGACACATATTAAAATTGTCATTGCTGGTATTTTATGGGAGTAAGGTCTCGTTCTCTTCAATTTATTTTTGCTACTTATTGGTTATTCTTATCATAATTAGATTAGATATATTCAGATTAGATCATATCAAACTCATCCAGATCAGTTCAGTTCAGATTCATTCATAATAATAATAATAACAATAATAATAATAATAATTACAATAATAGCAATAGTTACTATTTTTATCATTATTAATAAATAATAATAATAATTATCATCATACCTAATAATAACAATAATAGTAATTAATAATAATAATTAAAATAATAATAATCATTATTATTAACTAACAATAATCAATAATAACGATAATACTCCGTAACAATTAATATATGCTTCATCACGCAAAGAAGCATATCATTTTCCCACGAGTAGTTGGGTTAAACGAGCCACAACCCACAAGCCTCATGATGCAATTTAATAATATTTAGTCCTATTAAATATCTCTTTTGATTTACGATATTTGACTAAAATTATTTTTTCAAATCATTTTATATGAAAAGAGTTATAAAATTAAAGAATACATAGTATAAATTACATTTTTAAAAAACTATATCAAAATATCTATAAAACTAGTGAATAATTAAATTTAGGACGGATGAAGTAATAATTTAGCTTCGCCATTGTCCGTTTATATTCCAATAAATCTTTGAAATGTTTGAGCTTTACTCTAAGCGATTTAAACTTTAAAGTTGTCTTGTAAATTATGTATGTGATACCATCTCATGGCAAGCCAGCATGCTAACCCGCATAATTTAGATTATGCGAGTTTAGTGTTACAGTAAACATTATCAATAATTCAAGAGATTGGGTCAATCCAACTCAAACAAATTAGAAACATGCATACTCTCTTTACTCGAATCCAAAACAATCTAAACCCGAAACAAGTCGAATCCAAAATAATGTGAATCTATAAAAGTACTAAATCCAAAACGTCCCCAAACATGAAATGGCCTGAATCCCCAAGTCCTAAACCCATAGTTACTTGACCTTGAGAGTACCAAACTTAAACCTAAAAATGACCAAAACCCAAAATGACAAAACCCATAATTTATTTTAATGTAATGACCATTTGTAATTAGAAAAAGAATGTGCAAAAATGAACTGAAAACTACTGAACTAATCCAATATGAAAATGAGTGTAGTAGACCCCAATGTATGTATTATTGTTGGAGGTAAGGTATAACAAAGTTTCGTAATGGTTTTCCAGAAGAAATGTTGCTCCTCACATCAACAAATGAAATCATTATTGTGATCATTATAAAACTTGGCCGGAAGGAAAGGAAAATTGCTCCCCCAACTTAAAAAAACAGAGTATTATTTTGATAATTACCCAGTAATCCCCTCTCACCAGTCGTATGTCTTCTGCAACTGCAAGTGGTGTGCTTTTATAATCAACACGTTGGTCGATCAGTTCACACCATATATCCATTTTTCTGCGTTGCTGGTGTAGTTAACCAACTCTTCGGGTTTGAACCATAGGCCGATTTCATCTTTTGCTGTCTCGGGGCCATCACTGCCGTGTATGATATTCCTGCAAACAAGAATGTTTGTCAAGCTTCTTATGGATTTGAGTACGTCTGTGAACCACGAATAAGCTTGAGAGGATAACAATTAACTCCTATATTTCAAAAATCATAATACGTGTTTTCGTAATTTAAATTTAAAAAGAAATCTGTTTGATTGGCTGAAACTTTTTTATTTAAACCATAATTACCATTTACCAAAAGCAAAAGAAGGATACAAGGCAGGACAACTTCTGTACTTTAAAGTGAACATGGCAGAACAATGCCTGTAAAAAAATTGAGAATCGAAACTAGAGGTAATGTATATTATCATACCTTCCAACTACAACGACCAAGTCACCTCTTATGGTCCCAGGTTCTGATTTTTGGGGATCAGTGGCTCCAATAAGCTTACGACCGTATTTTATCACTCCTTCACCTTCCCAAACCTACAGGAATAGAAAATTCTGTGGTCTAAACCTATTGTATTCTACCAAACAAGTGTGTTGAAATAAATTGGAGAGCAGAAATTTTTCCTAACCATTGCAACAACAGGACCAGAGCTAAGGAAGTCGCATAAACCATTAAAGAAAGGTCTTTCTTTGA